GCGTGCCCGAGCCGGGGCGGCCTCAGCGGGGCTCCGGCGCTGCCGACCCGCGCGCTTCCGCGCTCCGGCTGCTCGCTCGCCTTCCTCTGCCTCCTCCAGGCTCCTCCATCAGCGCCTGCTGCGCCCGGACTCCGCGCGTGCGCTTCAGGATCCCGCGCAAGCGGCGCCCAGTAGTAACTTGCACGTGTGAATGAGCCCGGGCCCGCCTCACGTGCCGAAAGGTTTGCAGGACCGCTGCTTTTCGATGGACTCCACGCATGAACGGGCTGGGAAATAAAGTGATGCTCGCTTGTGCGCAGGCTGTGTCTATCCGGAGTTCCACCTAAGCGCAGGGAAGTGTGGAAGTTTGTATTGTGATCAGCATTTGAGAAGCTGAACCTCCCTGCTTCCCCCTCATGCATTATGCAAGTTTCTAGCCCCTAGGGCTTGGAAATGGGTGTGCCCAATGCCTGGCAAAACCGTTGCCTGAAGCCTTTGTGGATTTCAGTCTACTGAATCAGGCAGTCATCTTTACCTATACCTTTCTAGCGCTACAGACTGCAGCCCCGGAAACCTCTGTGCTGAAGTCAGTGGGGCTCAGGCCCAGGTAAGAATTACCATCTCAGTTGCTGTGTCAGCAGTGCCACGAAGCCTCCGCAGGCGGGTCCCTCTGTCCTAAAGGACTGGTGCGCCTAATTATTTTCCTCTTGACACATTCCAGGCCATTTCACATTGTGAAACAGTGGCTCGACAGGGATTTATTTATGCTGTCCGATCAATGATGATTTGATGGGCCATCTAGGAACATTCCATCATTCGATTGTCTTGGCAGTTGAATATACTGTATCTGTTGGTTTTAAAAATAACAGCCTGCTCAAAGAGAGTCCCAGAGTGGGGCTTGCTTGGGTTGAACCACCTCTCTGATTCTAGGGGGAGCTGGCAGAATCCTGAACGTGCTGGGAGTCTGGACCTCAGTGTGAGGTACCTGACATAACATGCTTGCTTCGTTCTTTTTCTTTGATTAGGCAAGCAAATTAATATTTGAACTGGTTTCCCAAGGCAAACTCTCTTTATTCTGACACCATTATTTGCAGGGGCCTGTCTTTTCTTATGTCAGATTCTCTTTATCTCACCAGGTTTGTCCCCTAATGAGGAAAAAGGTTCTAAGCATGGCATTTCGGAAGTCTGACACAGTGTCTTTTGTTCCCCGCAAGCCAACATTCATTACAAGATATGAGTGGGAGGCCCCGAACATCACTGGCAGTGATAAAAGCACTAAATTACCACCCTGTCTCTGATCATCCAATCAGTGATGGGTTCAGACAATTCAATGGTGGTGCTCACACAATGTGACCAGCAACTCTGTGTGGTTACCATGGTTCTCAGCGTTTAACCATGATCTACCTAACAAATGATCAAATGGTTCTCTTCATTGTGGTCTCCATCATTCTTGCTCGGTCTTCCCACTGTCGGCACAGATCCCATCAGCCATTGTGCCTGAAATGCAATCCCAAGGTGCATTGCTCCCTATATCACCTTCCTTTTCCTCATTACGCAACTCATAGAGGCTGGACTAGTGAAGAAGCTTCAGCAGGTAATAGTTGCACACCAGGTCTGTGGAAATCATAATCCTGAGTTCAGACAACACAACAACCCATGGTGTTGCAGAGAAACCATAGAACCAACCGTTATTTCTTATCAAGGTTTCTAAGGACCAGACTTACCATGGTGAAATACCATGACTGGGTTCAAACCAGCAATGGTAAGAAAATCACTCTGGCTTGCCATGTTGCTTGGACCCAGCCAACAACTCGCTCACTGAAACATGAAATGTGGGTTACCATGTCTGAATTCATCTTGTGCTAACAAGCCATGGCTTGTATACTGCAAGCAGTCCATGAAGAGAAACCATGGTTTGCTGTTGGGTTGTTCACCATCCACTCAGAGGAAACCAAGCCTGCTTCAAGACTGTGCTATTCATCTACATAGCTTCACCCCAGATTCTTGGTTACACTAAAGTGTGACAGGCTATTAGAAGTGTGGAATAGAATCTGGGGACTGACTTTTCATAAGTAAACAGTCCTAATCATGAATTATACCTGTTTTGTTGTATTGTTTCTGTTAACATTCTTCCCCATTCCGGTTAATAACAAACTGCAATTCTATGCATGTTTGCTTTTTAAAAATCCCACTGTATTCAGTCGAGTTTGCTTAAAGGTAACAGTGCATTGGACTGTAGCTCGATGCAGCTAAAAACTTTATTGTTCTTAAAACAGGTTTTTAAAAATTGGCTTCATATCTGGCAGCCGGCTTGAAATCGATTTCCTTTTGATTTCATCAGCAGCTTTTCACTGGCTCTTTTCACTTCATAGCACTTTGCTATTCAGCACGCTGAATTTACATCCGCTACTTCTGAATGGGCATATTTCACTGAGTAAGTCTAGATAAAGAAAATAATTCTACCTATTAATTGTTTGGCATCGTTATACTGCCCTGAGCCCTTTACTCCATGGCTGCACCACTTCAGTAGCCAGGACTTCCCATAACGGAGAGGCCATCCCTGAAAAGTCCTCCTCTTTGTTGAATAGCCAACTTCCAAGAATGGGGCCACCTGGAGAAGAAGATCAGCAGTTTTCAAAACACAGAGGTATGAGAAGAGGTAGATAAGTCCAAGTATCTCATTCCCAACCTATTTAAGCCTTGGGAAAAGGGAAGTACCAGTACCTTGCATTGGAAATAAGCAGGCAAACCATGACTCATGGTCATGGGGGAGGTCACTCTTGCGGCATCGGTTTTGGGTCCTCTTCCTGTTAATGCAGGCCCCGGATGTCTCCCCGGAAGTTCTGGTCTGAGCTTTCCTCAAAACACCTCAAATACAACAATCAAAGATTCCATTTAGCCCTTTTGCTGGCAGGAATTCCACACTGGTTTTTTTAAATTAATTGCTCCATAGGCTACTCTTGGATTTGATAGCTTGGTCTGACATGGACTCCCCTTAGCGATTCCATGTGGCCGATGTGTACTTGCCATTTCCTTGTGGAAGCGCACTTAGCATTATAGGCAAAAAACCAAATGGGCACTGAAACAAAGACTTGCCAGCATTCAGAAATCCTGGCTCCCCACCCACCCCCTGAATTTTGTCATCCTGACTTTAAGGATAAAATCTAATGGCTTCTGATTTTGACATTTGATTCAAAATCTGCATTTGATATCATATATCAGAATTCACTCATTCTGGTTTCTCCATCTAGTGGAGGAAATGTTTCCTGGCAGGTTCGGCTAACGAATTGACATTTTCTGTGCTCTTTTATAAGATTGCAGCCAGACACTACAGCAAGGCCACGTTCCCCAGCTGCCTCCGCGCCCAAACCGTAGGATAACAGCAGACTGGAGGTGTATGCAGCGGGGAAGTGAGTGCTTTATTTGGCTGGCAAGATTTTGCCCAGAGGTTTCTGCCAGCTGGCTCGGAGGGCCTGCCTTTTCCCTGGTCCATCCAGTTGTTTATTATCCAGGGTGTTCAAGGATAGGCTGGATGTGCACATGGTGGGCATGTTGTGAGCGGAGCTGACTGGTGCCAGAGGTCAGACTAGATGGCCCGGGAGGCCCCTTCTTACTCTCTCTGTTTCTATGTTATTCATTTATTATCTTGATATCCTGCCTTTTTTCTTTTCAAGGAGCTCAAGGCAACTCACACAATCTTCCTCCTCCATTTCATCTGCACAACAGCAACCCTGTGAGGTAGGTTGGGCTGAGCAACTGTAACTGGACCAGAGTCACCCCATGAGCTCCATGGCTGACCAAGGATTAGAACTGGGAGCACCCAGATCTCCAGTCCAGGACACCACACCAGCTAACCACATCCTGCCAGTATCACATGAAAGGAGCTGGTGGGTACCTCCCTGTGAGAATCGAAGCCTTCCTGTCCCACCAAGATCAACTCTCATGAAGAACATGGCCAGTCGAGACACCCACCTTTGCAGCTCCATAGATTTTAGGCTGACTCTCCCGATCTTACTTCCTGCATAACTCAGCTTAGGTGACCAAGTCCTTCCCTCCTAGGAGCTACTGAGATTTGCCTTTTGGCTGGTAGGCAGAGAGAATTCATTTGCTAGTTTACTATGTTGCTTTACTTTGGAAGTTTCGGCCTGCTTTGTTATTTAATCTGCATATATGCTGGGCAGGATTCTCTGCCTGGTCTGGAAGCTGGCCTGCACACGCACTGAGCTGAGCCACCTGAGAGGGATGGTTGAACTGGGAGTCCTGTGTTGAGCAGAGGGTTGGACCCAATGGCCCTCTGGCCCCTTCCAACTCTTCTATTCTATGACTGTTTGCAAATGTGTTTACCAGGTTCATTAAGGAGCTCAAACAAAGATCTGAAAGGAGGACCTATCCTTCCCCATATATAATATCCACAAACCCATCTTCTCTTGTTGGCAGGATAAGGGATCTTAAAATTTCACAGTAGTGGTGATGGAACGACCTGTGAGGAGCATACACAACATTGTCTTGCAGCCAGTTCTGCCCTCCAGGTACAGGTTTCCAGTTTGCATTCTGCAGCAGCTGACGCTAACCCGCTGTGCTTCGTTGCTGCGACGAAGAGTGAAAAAGCTTCATTCTCTGGCCACAGTCACATCAATGCGATGCTTCTGTCATGACCTTCTCCTCCCCTTCTTTTAGTAAAATAGTTCTGTTCACTTCGCCATCCTTAAAGCCACTCCAGTTAATAGAATTTAATCTGTATGCAAAAGACTCCCCTCTTTTCTTCCCTGTCCATTGCTTGCCATTAAAATACTAAACCTATGTCAATACAGAGACGCACTCTTCGGATTAATATATTAACAAGTATTCTGTCGTTGAGGCTGTTTCTAGCACAGTCCTGCAGGGCTCTCTCACTTACGCATGTCAGAAAATTAACGGGCGTGCCCTGGCTGAAGCACATGTGATATCCCACCAGCAGCAACTCCAGGGGAAGAGCTACAAAATGCAGGAGAGAGGAAAATGGCAGGAATATCCGCCGTGGCCAGTCCCACGACTGCCCACCAGTCCCAGGATGCAGCAGAGATGGGAGATGGCGTCACTCCACCGCCCAGAAATGGCGGGAACCCAACCGTGCGGAGGAACCCTTTTGCTGTAGACATGTAAAGATGGAGCAAAACTCCCCAACACTTGAGCCTTAGTAGCTCGGATCGCAAGCATGCCAGGCCAGAGGGGCAGGAGACTCTACAAGCGTGAACACTCAGAATCCTGCACAAGCCACAAGATCGAACCCTCAGCCTCTTGCCCGCAACTCATGGCACCAGCTTTCAAGCTGCAGGGCATTTGCCATGATAGCCAAAAATATGACCTCCGTATGCAAAGGCAGATGCAAAGGGATTCCATGCCACACCCCTGGGCTTCTGGAGGAACCGGCCTGACTGCTCTTGAAAACGAGAGTCTGGGTCGAAAGGACTCGTGAGCTCATCCATGGAGGTTCTTCTTATTTTATTTTTACTTTTTTTTATTTATTTACTTTTGGATTTATATCCTGCCTTTTTCCTACAAAGGGCTCAAGGCAGCTTACATCATTCTCCTCCATCTTATCCCCACAACAACAACCCTGTGAGGTAGGCTGGGCTGAGAGTCTGTGACTGGCCCAAAGTCACCCAGTGGGCTCCATGGCTGAGCGGGGACTCGAACCCAGATCCTCTGAGTCCCAGTCCCATGCTCTTCACCACCACACCACACTGGCCCTTTATTAGTTAATCTCTGGACCCAAATTGCTCTGTGATAAACCTAATAAAACTAGAGTGAGTGACTGAGGGGAGCAGAAATGGCACCTATTTCTAGAAAATCCACTCTGAAATATTCCTCTAGCCGAGTGATCATTTCGAATTGTAACTGTTACTACATTTCTTTCATCTCCTCTTGCTCTCTCACTGCCACCTCCTAATGAGTCTCTGGCTCTTTGCATCTACATGGTGTTGTAACCTCTCGTTTAGCCAGAATTGTTCTAAAGCAAAATAACTCTGCCAGTCTATGCATGGGCTTCTCGGAAGTAAGCCTGATTGAGCCTAATGGACCCTTCTCCTGGGAAAGGGAAGTGAGAATAGGGTTGCAGCCTTGGCAATGAATGAAGTGAACATGTTGTACGGCAGCCTTTCCAAATTGATAATTGTTTCAGGCAATTTGTCCTACAGCACTCTTAATTTCCTGCAATAATAGTGCATCGATCCAGTTTAAATATGTAAAGTGAATGCATTTGAAATTGTCCTGATTCCTCTGCAGTATCTGAATGATCTCTTTATACAAATCTTCATAAATGCCCAGGCCGTTCTTCACTGCCTAAGATTAGAACTGTTTCCAAACAGATGAAATGGATCTTGCCAGAGGATTAATAGGAATACCATCACTACTGATGTGAAAAAAGCTTATTTCAGAACAAAACAGAACACAGTGGTTGGAACTGAAAACAGATGCAAGGAGCTGGACTAGATGTGTATGATCCTTTCATGAGGAGATAACAGGAATGCTAGCATCCCCAGGTATACCCTTTCAGAATCTCCTCTTTCCTCTAAGCTGCAGTCTTCATATGACCTGGGAGGAAATTAACGTTCCTAGCAACCCCGTATTGTCCCCTGTTGTGAAGTGAAGTCTTCTGGGCTGGCTTTATCTTGACTCTTCAAAGACTTGTTAGCCTTCCAATTGACTTGCTCTTGGTGAAGTTGAAAACTCCTAGACGTGGTTTGCTGGACTCCTATGAGCATCATGATGAGTGTCTGCACTACAAAATTTTCAACTCCACCACTGGAGATCGGATCTGAGGCAGAAGGTCCTCGCTCTCAGTTCAGAGCGCAAAGCTAGCAAGCCCTCCCGAGGAGCAGGCCTTGTGGAAAAACGCAGGACTTCTCACTGCATAAAGGAAGCATCTCATAGTGACAAGAATCTGTTTTGCTCTAGGGTTTCTAAACTCGCCCTTTATTGTTTTAATGATTTTCTTGGCCATCAGCTTGAGCACTTGGTGAGCGCAGGGCAGGACAAAAACCACGCTGCGTAAACAGAGGTTGCATGTGTCAATTGATGCTCATGTCTGCACTTTTTAAGAACTACTATAAATCAAACAGTAATGCATTCCCTCAGTTGTCAGGCGGCGGCGGCCAGGCGGAAGCTGTTGCATTTGTGATCCCTGTGACTTCAGGACTAGCGGTGCCCATGTTGCAGCTTGCTTCCTGTCACATCTGAAAGAAACTGGCGATGTAAAGATACTGTGACATTTCCTATCATGCAGGCAGCACAAAATAATGCGGTGCGCTTCTCTGAGACTTGCTGCATGTGGGAAATTCCATGGGGACGAGAGCAGGTGCAGACACTGAAAGAGAAAAATACACTTCAGCAGAGCGGGCTCTTTCTTTCCTTGACTACGGCCCCGTCTCCTGGAGTGAACCATCTGTACAGAGTAGTCCCTTTTCTGAAACCTTTTAAATCACACTGGGCTTCTCTGATGGCCTGTGCTGTGCCTTAAAAAATGCTCACGTGAGTCTGCGTCCAGCAAATACAAATAATAACGGTAAGCATTAATAGCAGCGTGACTGTTAAACACGCTGCCGTGCAGAGAACTGCCACGAGGCTATTCATTAAAAAAGCAATTATTTTTGAGAGATCTGAGCAGCAGTTCAACAACTGCTGGTGAGCATTGCTGTGCATTCGCCGGCTAGGATCTCCCATCCTGGCCTCAGTAAATCCAGTTGCTTTCTAATAAATCTGTGGAAAAAATAATATATTGGAGGTACACCTGTCTATGCACGCACACGGACAATAATCTAGGTACTGTCCACAATATTTTAAAAATGTAAGAGGCAGGGCTTGCAACTGAATAAAGACGTGTTTGATGCACACATTTTTACACTGGATAACACAATGAGCTTTCAAGAGAAGATGAATGTGGTTTTCATGCTAGAATGCCATTTTGGGGGTTCTTTACTGCAAGGACTTTGCTAATCAGGGATCCTGCTGTCGATACGATGTCATACTATTACACAGCCAATCTAATTTGGCTCCTGCTGATGTCACCAAGGCCTCATTTTAACGGAGGAAAGAGAAATCATTCTTGTTGCTGAGGCAACCTTCTTGTTGTGCCGGCCGTTCCCATTGCCTTTCATGATGCACAAAAATGATGCGGGACAAGTTGTAGAGAAGTTTGAATACCTGCGCGCAATAGGCGGATTCTCACATGGCGGATCCTGATGGGAGAGTTTAGGCCCAGTTGTCTTAGCTACAGAGATATTCATTTATATCTCCCTGACAAATTCTTCTGCACGGTTTCATGAAGGGACACGAATGGTGGCTGGAGAAGCAACTTACATCCTCACTGAAATCCTAGGATGAAAGAATTCACTGGTTGATTCAAACCAAGATGTGAACGTCTCCACTAAAATCTGACTTGGTGCTTTTCCTTTCTGGCTTTCCTGCTCCCTATTCCTGTAGCTTTCTGGGACTGCTCCTCAGCTCTACAAAGCTACACCCTCCCCAGGACTTACCCAAGGTTTTACTTAAGCAGGTGGAATGGGGAGGAGAGGAGGAGACGATGACAATGTCCTCCTTCTTTTCAAAGCATTTTGAAAGCTTTGCTCCAGAGCAATCCAGATGTCCAGTATTTCGTACTGTAACGCCAGCCCACGCAATGGCTGAGCACAATGCAAATACAAATTCCATTGCCTGACAGGAGCGTAACTCTGGAAGGGAAGGAGCTATGCCCAAGTTCTCAGATAGGAAGAACAGGAGCAGTTGATAGAGTAGGAACAGCCCGCCCAGGGTTTGGATGGTCTTCTGGCAGGACAGGACCAGTGGGCGTCCCTTCTCATTACTGCCATCTGCTCTCGTTGTTTACCACCGTTGCCTGCAAAGTTGCCCAGGAGGGAATTGGAACATACTTTGTTTGCATGCTTCCTGGGTCAGTCGGAAGGGGCAGGTGAGAAAGATAGGAGGACTGGGCCACTGCAGCGTTCTAAGCTGGAAAGTTCAGGCTCTGGAGAACTAGAAGAGGGCTTGGAATGCATTAATGAAAGGCCAGGGCTAACGACTCTGGTTCAGGCAGAGACCATGAAGAACAAGAAGGATCAGAGAGGGATGGGTGTGAGTTCATCCACCCAGTGATTTGTCACCAAGCCTTGTGTGCAGATCAATTAAGTAATGTCAAGCATTTCTGCCTTCTGGCCCACAAGCCGCACGAACCTCCCTGAGGATGGAGCTTGCTTCTTTTGGAGAAGGGGGGAAGAAGGGTTCAGTTTGGAATCCACTCCTTACATGGGCCAGAACTAACAGCAGCAATCAGAGGGATTGCTACTTGGAACAATTTTGCAAAGCCATCTCCAACTGGGCAGCCTATAAAGGACTGCATTTTAGAAGCTGTTTATCATGATCTGTGGAAAAGGAAAGAAGGGGAGAGACATGTGAACACAGACTCATGACAAACAAGTAGATTGTGGCCAGGGGACTCACCAAGGAGGTTGGGAGGATGGCCTTCTCAGAAGAGAAACAGAAGAGGGGCTTTCTCAGTGGCTACACCCCATTTATGGAAAGGGGGCACCTTCTTTACCATCTTTTTGGCACCAGGCAAAAGCAATTTTATTCTCTGGATATTTTAATAGTGCATTTTAATTCTGTTAAATTTATTAATTTTTAAATTAGAATCAAATATTGGTATGTTTTAGAATTTGTACTGCTTTTAAACTCTCAGCTGTACACTGTATATTATATAGTCTTTTGGATGTTAATTACGTAGAAACATAGAAACAGAGCAAGTCAGAGGGGTCTCCCGGGCCATCTAGTCTGACCTCCAGCACCAGCCGGCTCCGCTCACGACATGCCCACCATGTGCACGTCCAGCCTGTCCTTGAACACCCTCACCGATGGGGCCTCAACAACCTCTCGTGGAAGCCCCTTCCACACCCTCGGGTGTTGCATATTCTTGTCATTTCTGTCTATGATGATGTTTGTTTGGTTGACTGTTATGCAGTGTTTATGTTTTTTCTTGTCACTGTTTGTTTCTATGAGTTTTGTAAATCTGCTTGGAGAGTGCTGCCAGACTATTGGCCAAGTGGATTATAAATGCACTCATAAGTAAATAAATAATCAGACCCCTGCAGTCGTGTGGGTCTTGGCAAGTGTCCAACCACCACAATCCATTGACCCCAACTGGTAGCGTGTTTTGTAGCTCTTTATTATCAGTTAGAGCCCCCTCAAATGAGCGTACTGATTCTTGTTATGAGCGCTCGCAATTAAGCCGATGCGCACGCATGGTGCTCATACACTGGCAAGGTTGAGTGAAGGGATCTGTTCCAAGTAAGTATGCCCAGAATGGTGGCCTTAACCAGAAAACAGAGAATATAAAACGGTGATATTTTACTACTATTAACTAACTTAAAAAACATGTTTCATTGTTTTTATACTTTGCTGTAACCCATTCAGAGAGCTTCAGCTGTAGGTGGTATGGAAATGAAATAAATAAATGAAACTCAAAGAAAGGCTGACTATATCAGAAACTCCCATTTGTAATAAAACCTTATATATTACCTTTTGTTAAACATTTTATTAAAATACTTACACCTTCGTGTATTCAGTTTGCCAATGCATTTTGAAATTGGCACATCACAACTCTATAATTTGCTTTTTCAATTCCATGTATCTTTCTCCCAATCTCAAGCCGCTGAGGAAGAGAACACTGTCCAGCATGGGGCCATGACTGATGTAAACACCCCTCATTGCGAGTCCTCCCACCAGTCCTGCTGGGGTTGAATAGTTTTCATGACTGAATCCCTCTTTTTCCGTTTCTTTAAGGAGCACAGGAAACCTTCTGGGAAAGCATTGTGGCAACTACTTTTGAGCTGTTCTCTCTCCAAAATGGGAGACACAAGGAGATCCACAAAACACCCCCAGCTATTCAGAACACAACATTTTTGGAATTGTATCTCATTAGAGGAACAAACTTGGTCATGATTGCGTCCCTTTCCTTTTCGTTCTAAAAGATTCTGAATCGTATGTCCACACGGTGTCAATGCCCGTTCCAGAACTATGACTTGGCCTCCAGCGGGGGAAAGGAAAGCGACAGGCAATGACTTTGGCATCTTTCCGGAGCTCTCGCCCAAGCTTCTCTTCGAGCTGCTGCATCTGTGAAGAAACAATAAAACCTCTTTGGATGGTGTGGGAGACCGGCTTCTTCCCAAGCAATTCCTCAGTAGCACCATGTGGAGGACTGACTGTGAAGAAGCAACTCTATCCATGTTTGCCCACAAACAAGACCCACTGGGAAATTACTCTCAGTACGTGGGACTGCGGCCTAATTGTTAAATATTGTATGAAACAATAACTCTCTGGTGCTTGATGGAGAAGACTCGTGGACTACAAATTTGGAAGTCAGGCTGGAAATGTGGTATTCTACAACATACACACTAGAGAATGCATGGAAACTGATAATCAAGTGAGGTCTCCTTAGCAGAAGACAGAAAATAACATTTGGAAATGGCAGAGAAAGAGAAAAGTGAGTGAAAGGATGCAAAACTCAGAACAGGTTTTCTAAGTGAATGAGAAAGGCAGACATACAGACAGATGCTGGCTGTAAAGAAGTGAGGAAAATATCAGTGACAGCAAATTGGTGGAAGAAATGACAGATGTGGCCCTGTAACAAGGGCACAGTAAGGGAAAAACTGCTACCAAAGTACAGACTCAGCCAGAATCTTCCTTCCCAGATAAGGAAGCTTGGAAGTCATTTCAGTCTTCTTTTTTAAAATCTTGTTATTCAAGCCAGCAAAAATGTTCGATTTCAGCTTTAAAATATTGCTAAAATACATTTAGAGGAGAGCTTTGCAAATACCCTGAACTGACAGAATGACAAACAAGCAGGTCCTAGATCAAATCAAGCCAGAGCTTGCCTAGAAACAAAAATGATAAAACTGAGGCTGTCATATCTTGGACACATCATGAGAAGGCAAGGCTCCCTGGAGAAGACAATCATGTTCGGGAAAGCTGAAGGCAGACGATGAAAGGGAAGACCAAATTTGAGATGGATGGGCTCCATCAAGGAAGCCACAGCCTGGAATTTGCAAGAGCTGAGCAGGGTTTCATCGATGGGACATTCTGGAGGGCTTTCGTTCACAGTGTTGCCATAGGTCAAAGATGACTCTATAGCACATAGCAAAGGCTGTGGCTTCCTTGACAGATTCAATCCATCTTATATCTGGTCTGCCCTTTCATTGTCTGCCTTTGACTTTCTTTTTTAGCTTGACTCAGATTTTTTAAATTAAGAGCTGATGATCACGACCGAAATCTGTTCCTAGTCTTGTTCTGGCAGCAAGAATACAGCTTTTCCACCTTCTGCTTCCAATTACATAGTCTATTTGATTGGCCATCTGGTGAAGCCCAGGTATACACTCATCTGGGAGGCTGCCTGAAGTGTGTTGCAATGAACAGGTTTTTGGCTCCGCAGAATTCTAGGAGTCCTTCTCCTGCTTCATTTCCTACCCCTGGGCCAAGTTGTCCCACATCCTTGGATTCCGCATGGTGCCGTACTTTTGCCTTCTGGTCACCAGAATTAGCAGCATCTCCTGTTTTGCTGTATTATCAATTTCCTCTTGAACACCTGCATAAAAGCTTTCAATGTCTTCTTCTTCAGCATCTGTTGTTGGAAACTAGACTTGAATGATGGTTATATGGACAATATCTTGCCTCAGTATTACAGCTATCCCATTTCTTCTGGGTTTATTTACAGAGGAAAACACTTTGTTTGTCTGACTGGAAATGTCCCACTGCCATTGACTTTAGTACGCTCACACGAAGTACATAATGTTCATTCTTTCCATTTCTTGCTCAACAATTTCCAGCTTGCCTGGATTTAAGCTGCTCATCTCCCACGTCTGACTCATGTGTGTCACGCAGCATGGGACTTCCTTTCCACCTCTGGGCGTGTTGGCCCTCGGGTGCCTTTTGGGTCCGATCGGGTTGTATCATCAGGAACAGCACTACGTGCCTTTGTCCTTTGCCCTTCCCCAGTGGCTCTCTGTGCCTCCCAGCTTGGCAGCCTCATTTTCTGGAAACTAACCTGTCCTTCATTTTGGGTCATTCCAGCATAGGGTCTGCATGGAGAAAGAACCCAGAAGTGGATTACCACCATCCTCCTCCTGTGAGATCCATCATGGCCACTGTCTGAGAACAACCCTCTGCCAGCGTCGCCTTCAGCTACCATGGCTGCCCAGGAGCTGTCTTCCAGGGGCTTCTCCCCTGCCATCACCGCTGCGATCGGTTCTCTTTCACCTGATCAGGCCATGAGTCCTGAAGAAGGCGGAGGCATCTTGGTCTGGCATCTCAGCCTGGCCATCCTACCGAGGGTGTCCCTGCTGGGAGACCAACCTAGTGAGACGATTCTGGCCTCCCGAGGGCGAAGCTCTCCGCTTCCTGGGCACTCTCAAATCCCTCACTATGTATGTCAAGGTGTGCATCCGGGGGGGGGGGGGCATGGCTATTTTATTTCTCTCCTTTCTGGGTTGCTCCTCTCTCCTCTCCTCAGTTCTGCTGCTTACGAAATTTGTGAGCACTGCATTTTCCCAGCCTTGATCTTTGTAACACTCCCTTTCTTTATGTGTTATTGGGTCCAGCTTAAGCTATAGGACAAAGATATTTCTTCTCTACCCTTCAAAGCAGCTTGGAAATATTTTAAAATCAAATAAACAGTCTCTCTCCATTCTTCTGATAACCCCACTCCACCAAATCGCTTTGTCTGCTTTCTCATCACAGCCTTCCATACACTTTTCCCCTGTGCAAATCTTAGATGATTTTTCCTGTTTTGATACATTCATCTTTTCTCTAGAATCCACTGCTGCCCTCCCCAGTACCTACACGGAGTTCTCTGGGAATGTTTAACATTTATCTTTTGCTTCATTTTTAAAATTGAATTAAGGTGGATCAAGAGTTAGTGAATTCACAGAGCAGAATTCTGTAAATGGAACTGTTGGCCAATTTCCCTCTTCCTTCTTCAGCCCTCACTTCCATCCTCTGAAAATCTGTTCTTTCCTCTACTCTGGTGAATTGGGGGCACCCCCAGGACTGTGTGATCTGACTCTAGGGGGTTGTTGGAGGGGAAGGAAGAGTCAATGGGAATTGCAATCTCTACTCAGTTCCTCCAGTATGAAGCTCCTGCTGGATCCTGATTTCTTTATTTGTGCAGCAGAGGGGAATAATAAAACCCACAAGAGCTTCAAGACACAAACATTAAAATCACATTGAAAAGACAATGAAAATGCAATACTATACACAATTTAAATTACAGGAAGACAGAGCAATGCAAGAGCACTAAAAAAATGGAGCAGCACGATTAATTATCTTCCTGGAAACCCCTGGTGAACAAGTGCATTTCCAGGAGGCATTTGGAATGGCGAAGAAGTAGGAGAGCTGCACCCCCTCTCCTGAGCAAGGTCATCCGGCAAAACGACCGAGGCTGCTTTCTCTCCAGAGCTGGGCCTGGATCCAGACTGGGACGGGCCCAGGCAAGGCTTGTCCAAGGGCACTTGCTGCAGGTGAAGTGCCATTGCTCTCAGATGCACTTTGCTCAGGAATGAGGTGACAACAGACGGGAGCTGCTGACAGGAGATGTCTGGCTCCACAGAGTGTTTTCCTTGTCAGGAACGGCTGCCCCATCGCCTCCTCTGGGGACTCACGAACACATCATTATGCCGTGACGCGCTGCACTGCTCCCTTGCTCCACCCAGTCCAATAGCTCCCGCTGTGGCCAGCTCAAAGAGCTCATTTTTCTTGCATATGGTTGCCTTCGCTATTTTAACTTTATACTGTATGTTATGTTTCAAATTGCTGTGAACTGCCCAGAGGGGGTCGGCTGTTGGGTGGTGTAAAAATAGCCTGAAGTGCCTGAGCCTGCCTAATCTTGGAAGCTAAGTAAAGCTGGGCCTGGTTGAAACCTGGATGGGAGACTTAAATGTTGTGAAGTGCACAGAGAACTCTGTCGATGGACGGTATACAAATGCAACATAATAACAACAATAATGACAGCAATGTAAGGAATAAATAAGAAATAAATAATCCAGGAAGGGAATGTGTCAAGAGTGTGTGTGGATGTACCCGACTTGGTCACAATCGCAGGCTCCACGAACAGAAATTGTTCCCACAAAATGAAGCACGGCATGGCGTGAGCGGTTTTGTCCTCAGAGGGCCTTGCTGGCTTGGCCCTGCAGGTCTCCCAGGGTTCCAGTCCTGGGCTAGATGAAAGCAACCCGCCAGGCTGCTCAGAAAGTGCAGCTAGACGGAGAAGCAAAACGAGCCTGCTTTGGTTTGCTTCACTGCCCTGGGATGGGCACAGTTCTAGGCTCTCACACATGGTCTATCGCCTTCGGGACAAACCATATGCTGCTCCTGACTTGTTTCATTGTCCAGCTTCAGGTCTGAGTTACCAGAAAATCCTCCACCATGTTCAGGAATCCTTTGGATTCTGTAGGTCTCCAGTAGCAACCCGTTTTTCCCCTGAGGAGGGAACTGACACCGTAACACCAAATTTTACCAGAAAGTTGTCCAGCCACATGATGGGGCAATTTCCATGCCGCTCCTGTGTGCTCCTCAGCCCAGCACGAAGTACAGGCCGGCTCTGCCTATTCTGGGGCAGGGGGCTACCCAGCAAGCACGGCTGAGCTCCCTGGGAACACGGCAGCTCCCCACAACCCCGGTGTCGAGCTGGGCTAGTGCTGGACAGAATCACCAGGCGGGGAAAGCTGCATGCTGCCCACACGACCCACGCCGCTGGGGACTCCTGCCACGTTGGCGCCCTCATCCACACGGATGGGTAACATGGGTACGTGAAGTCTCGTCACAGACCGACGTGCCTGGGAGCCACTCTGCCTCCGACAGGAAGGACTCTTTATGTGCGGAGCTGAACGCTCTTTCTACCTTTCATGCCCCTTCCCTCTTCCTCTCAGAGGGGCTGCCTCTGATCACAGACTGGAGAGAAGGGGACTTGGGCAGCACAGTCGGCCGGTGCTTGGAGGAGTTTACGTAAGCCTGGATGAGGGAGCTTCTCCTCCTCTGCCTTCCCTCCAGGGGAAGATGAGAGACCAGCCAGGCGGAGCGGCTTCTCCTGCCTGCCTGCCTGCGTGCAGCGCAACTGGCCTCCACTGGATGCCCAGGGCCCATCCTCCCAACTTGCCTTCCAGGGCAGGGCCATATGCCACGGGGCCGCAGACAAGTCCGCACAGGCTGGCACGGACTCTTGTGCTGGCAACATGTTGGCGACACACAGGTATGTGAGGGGGTGTCACACGGGGGGGGGGTAGAGACCTGTTCTCCCCTGCAGAGAAAGGCAGAACGCGCTCCAACGGAGCAAAGCTCAAGGAGCCAAGGTTCAATTTGGATGTCAGGAAGCATTTCCTGAGAGTCAGGACCCCGAGGGTGTGGAATGGGCTTCCTCGGGAGGTCGTTGAGGCCCCATCGGTGCGGGTGTTCAAGGACAGGCTGGACGTGCACATGGTGGGCATGTCGTGAGCGGAGCCAGATAGAGCCGGAGGTGAGACTAGATGGCCCAGGAGGCCCCTTCTGACTCGCTCTGTTTCTATGCTCACCCCCATCTCCACAATCGAAGGTTTATGCGAGGCTTTCTGTGGAGTGTCACATTTCAACTGCAGATTCCACTATCTATCTTTTCCCAGGATGAAACAGGGATTCTTTTCAGCCTATTCACTGTCAAGCATTTGAGAGATCTCTGTATATTGGTGATCCAGATACTGTTGTGGTTAGGAGAATTAAAACTTACCATTCCAGGAACTCCAAATATAACAACATTCGTATACTGGGAAAAACTGATCTGTTTCGGGGGGAAAAGGCAGAGTTACTCTCTATAGATGCATTATTTGTTCAGTTTGCCTACTTTCTATATGTACTTGTGGGACTCTTTTTAGTTCTTCCATCTACATTGCATAAGGATCGGCGATTATACATGGAAATTAAATTAAAACTTTCCCTCTACTTGTCAGAATCCCGTCTGTCTTATCTCTGCAAAGTATGGCAGCTTAAAACGCTGGTGTGCGACTCCACTGTATCTTTCTATTCTAGAATTCAGATGCCAACTGAATAACCAATCGGTTACCGCCGGCGGATGATCTGTTCCCCATAGTGGGAGGAAGAATGAAGGCTTTTGAAAGTCGATAGATGGTTTTTTCAAATAAAGTTAGAATAGTATTATGATTTAAAAAAAATACAAGATGAGGAAGTCCATGCAGGGAATGGAAAAGAACAGAGGCACGATAATAATGAGTCAAGCTGACCAGTTCAGGAGAGAAAAGGGAACAAGCAAGGAGCGATGCAATGAGAGTAAAGGGACAAAAGCTGATTATCGGGGGCAAAGCAAACACGGCACCACTCATGCAAGCACCCATGGAGAGCCACCGCTTTTAAGTGGCAGGTGGGTACGCAGGCTTATCAGATCAGCCGTGGTGGGGAGGCAGGAAGGCTTTCATCTTTCGCCCCACACCGTGGGCCAAATCCAGTCCAGCCCTGCCCCTGCATCTGTTAGCTGTACCCAGAGACAAACGCCCATTTGCACTAATTGCTGCTGTTAGAGTAAATAACCATTTGTAATTGTGTAAGTCTAGTTCAGCTCCGAGACAGATAGAAAGGGGATGCAGAGAGGGGGAAATCATCCTTTTCTCATGGTTTTAATGACATGCAATTAAAAAAAATGTCCCCCACCTTTCCCAATGATGATGCCTTGATTCCACTGAAGGATTCCATGGGAATTTTACAAGTATCTTACACTGGTTAAAACTCATCTTTAGCATTGCATTGGTTTCCATCTGGCCATTTTCATCTGCATCATTTGTCATGCATGATGTTCAATCAATGTACCTTCCATAAATCTGAAATGTAGAATTTGGCATCTCGGTGCACTCCTTCTCTCCAGGCTCGGTACCTGGAATACCAGACCAGCCAGGGATTTAAGTCATAGCCAACAGCTTTGAATCCGACTTTTGCAGCCGCTATCACCTGTATAAAGACAAACCAGTGTGTGGTCAGACAAATGCACTGGGGTGAACACAGCACCGAGTAAACTACTTCTCCCGACTTACAATGCGTCCATCGCCGCTCCCGAGATCAACCAGGGACCCCTTTCGGCCTCTCAGCGCACCCAGCACGTTTTCAATCTGCTTTGGAGTGGCAGGCACGAACGGCAGGCAATGCTTCCTCAGTGCCGGAGCGATGAAGGGAGCGGCAACAGAATAGAGGGCAACCAGCGACCCCCCAACAACACCAGTGAGCAGTAAACCCCAGCGCCTTTGTTTAGAGTCTTCTTTGGCGGCAACCAAAGGCAAAATGTCATGTGCTGCGTTGCTTCCGGGTATTTCCGACATAATAGAAACACCTAGGAAAGGAGAAAGATTATGCATGATCAAGAATACATCATACGTCCCTGATTGCAGCAGCAGAAGCAGGTATTATGCAGTAGCCAACACTGGGCAGCCAGGTCCATTTGTCAGTTTCCAACTGGTACTGGGAGGCTAGCTAACAACAAGCTGTCTTTCATGAGTCTGACTGATCTCTTCTAAAGCCGTGGGCTTTCAGCACATCTTGGGGCAGTGACCTTCATTACTGAATGATAGATTGCGCTAAGCACACCCTTAAATCTCTCTCATTAAAAGCAAAGGGGTGGAACATTGCCTGACTTTGGGTGAAACATGCCACTGCTTTCTAATTTATAACAGCAATTTCATTTTTTGGATGTTGTTTCTAGTCGAGACGACTTCAAATCATGTTAACAAAAATGAATTATGAGGAAAACTGAGTTGTATATCAACTCTGTTCTCGTATAAGTAGTGCAAAATTTACACATGTAATCCAATATTAATATATACTATCCAAGTCTTACAGTAGCTGAATAAAGAAGGATGAGCTCTCTTTCTTTAGTAATGCTTTCCTTGAACATTTCTCTTGAAGTATTCGGTGATATTCGAACATCGGAAATGTAAATGTGCAAACATAAAATTGGATCCAATTTACAAAGAAAGAGACAAATTCAAATGGTGAAATGATATATACATTCCTTTTGAATGTATTAGCAGAAGCGTTAATAATTCAGACACTTTCAGAACAATCCAAAGCTTGCCTCTTATTCAGAAAGTAGCCCACTGAACCGCAGTGGAATGTGTGTCTAAGCAAGCAATGCCCTGTGCTGGATTTGGTCATCTGCTCCACTGCATGCTCGGCTGTGCTTTAAGTAGGGAAGAGCAATGTCCATTTAAAGGATAAAAAGAATTGGGCCATGCTATGCTGGATGGAAAACAGGAACTTTATGACAGTTGGAGGGAGATGTTAGATTCTTTAGAAACCCACCTGATTCTCAGCACAGAAAAGCATGGAGCACAAATTCGTGGAGAAATCTGTCTATCTTACACAGTGTTGGGCACACCTAAGCTTGTTGATTTCAGTGGCCTCAGGCATGATGAATATTTTTGAACTTCATCTACCCACATTGCTGGTAGGAGCTTCTGGGAACTGCAGTCACAAACACCTGGAGAACTGCCAAGCCTAATCAAGTATGCCTAATTCTGCACTGCACTGGTTTCCTAGGTGGACTGTCCAAAGTACCTATTATTTGTTTTTTTAAGCAACTGAAACCTGCCTGTCGGGGTACACTGACCTCACAAGGCTACTTCCGATATTACCAAAACATGAGCCTGCAAATCACAATTAAACACATATACACAGCAGTAGCCAATGATGTTATTTATTTAAAATATCGATAGGTTACCTCACAGAGCAGGCGTGCCAATGACCAAAGAAAATGGTTTAGAACAGTCTTCCCCAACTGTGTGCCTTCCAGGTGCATTTGGACTACAACACCCAGAATTCTCAGTCAATGGCCCTGCTGGATGAGAATTCTGGGAACTGCAGTCCACATGCCTCTGAAGGCCTCCCAGATGGGAAAGGCTGATTTAGAATCTTGCACAATTCCCGACTAGAACTCATGGCCATGTTCATTCAAGGCTATGAAACGAGGTAATGGATAATAGAATGGAAATGTGGAAACTGGAAACTTCCAGGCCTTTGTGGCTCCGCGTGCCTTCTGTTTAGCTGAAAACGCAGCTATGACCATATCTAGCCTTTCTTCAGTTATCCATTGTCAGCTGCAATCCTGTTTGGAGTGTGGTGACATATATTTATCTCCCACCTTTTTCCTGCAAGAAACCCAAGCAGCTTACAGAATTCTTCTCCTCTCCTTTTTATCATCACAACAACCCTGTAGGTAGTTTAAGCTGACAGCCTGCGACTGGCCCGAAGTGGCTGGGGGGCAACAGATGGACTACCAAGATCTCCCGAGTCCCAGGTCAATGCTCCATCAACTGTGTCACACTGGCATTTGGCACTGGGCGTGACGCTTCAGGTAACCCAGAAATGGGGTGCAAGACACAGAGCAATTTGGTTGTATTTCATCAGTGCCTTGTCATTGGCACATCCTTCACATTAATTCTAGGTCCAATTTGAAGCACTGCTTTTGACCTATAGAGCCTTAATTGGTTGGCAAGCTGGTTACCTTAAGGACTCCCTCTTCCCAGGTGTATCATCCCAACCTACTGAGATCATCCTTAGAGAACCTTCTCTGCAGGGCTTTATAGGGGTGGCATCTGGGGTGTGGAAATTTCATTCCAGAGAGGCTGGCTTGGGGCTGACCCTTGAGCTCTCTGCGATGGGGTGAAGACATTTTGATTTTTCCCAGGTCTCACCCACTCTTAGATGTGAAACCTTCCTTTAAACTTTTCAAAACCGAAAGCCTGTTTGATTGCTGGGTGATGCTGAGGTCAGTATCCAGTGCTGCCCTTGCAGTAGCTGGAATGATCCCTAGAGTAGATAGGACGCTTAACAGCCCACCCCAAATGAGACCAATCTAATGCTTCTGGAACGGAACAAAGCTTTGCCTATCCCACAAGCATTAGCTAGAGCTGGTTTCCAGGGCAGTGCTATAAAGCGCCAGCTTCTCATTGTGCTAGCCATCATTCCCACAGACTGCCAAGAGCTTTTGCTACACTGATTATACTCACTGTTTTATTGTTCGCAGTTGTAGTTTTATTGTTGCTGTGAAAGAACAAAGCTGTCCTGCATTTTTGTGTTTAGTTTGGTCGGCAGACATTTCAGAGTTTAATCTGTTTTGAGTATGCACTGGTCAATGAGAGCCAAACATTAACAGGTTAGAGGCCAAATCTTTAGCTAGATGAAAATTTGCTCAGGAAGCCAAAAGTCTGCAAGGAGGTTTATCTGAAGGTCAGCAAAAGTTTTTTGGAAATAGAAACCTGGATGGCAAAAACGAATAACATAGCTGTCCTTCTGATCAGCTTGAGCTTGCAGTGGAAACAAATAAAGATAAAAGGTATGTGGGAAGAATGCCTGCAGTTCCCAAAATTCCCCAGCTTGCATGTTGGGATTTGCAGGCCTTTTTTTCTACCTCAAAGACGTAGGATCGCATCATAAGATACAGTGGTACCTTGGCTCACAAACACCTCAGTTCACGACCAAATCAGGTTGCAAACAGATTAAAAAAAAAAAAAAATGTCTCAGTTCGCAGAATCCGCATTGGGTGACAACCACGATCGCGGCCGTGTTGCCGCACAAACACTATCACAATCGCAGCCATCTCCCCCCTCCCCTAGCACAATAACCGCCCCCCCACCTAGGTTAGTGTTCTCCACTGTACTTTGTTGTTGTTACTTTTTTTGTGATTTAAAACAAAATTTACAGAACGGATTAACCTTATTTACATTAACTTTATGGGGAAATTTGACTTGGAGTTGTGGAATGGACTAAGTTCATGAGCCAAGGTACCACTGCATAAGACACAAAAGCAATGGGGAGAGGCAGGGAGGATGGACCGTCAGTCCAGCGTCCTAGAGGAAATTGTCAGAAGTTTGGAGAATTGGTTAAGCGGTTACTCGACTTATAACTGTCAGATATAGCTTAAAAGGTACTTAAAGTTCGAACAGTCTGAATTAGGCTGGTGGGATGCATACACTGTATTACTTTATTGCTCCAATGCTTTTTTGTGGTGTGTGTGTATCCATACAGATTTTAAATCTTTTTTCACATTTTTTTTCAGTAAAACTTTAAACTTTGTTGCTCGATACTTTTTTGCAACCTTGTCTTCTTAACTGGCAACATTAACCAACTGGCAAAACTAACAAACAGTATCTGGGGGGGCAGGGAAGAAGTTCGGGCAAAGGGGAAGGAAAAGAAGAAAGATGCAAAAAAATATGGATGCGGCTCATAAAAAATTGAGGGAAGAGTGTTCCCATGTTGCAGAATGGCTTCAAGAGGGAGACCAAATTGTTTTAACTGCCATGGCCCAGGGTACTTTGTGTAAAGACTAACATTCAACATGGGGGAGGGGAGGAAGAGAGGCAAAACACTAAAAAGAAAGACACATTTTCTTCTCCCACTTGAAATTATACTTGCTTTACTGTATGTGAAAAATCCTATTCTGCCCAATAGGAGTTCACTAAAAAACACAGAGCACAAAACCATGAAGGGGTGATGACCCATTGCCTGGTGCGTAGAGGCCAGCATACCTCAATGATGATTCTGGGAGACCTAACTTTAAAAGAGTTGATGGGATGTCATGTATGTGTACTCCACAAGGTGGAGTGAAAGAATGACAATTATCACGCCTCCCAGAGCATCATTCCTTGCTAGATTAAACCTGGCAACTGTACTTTGAAGCATACATTTCATTACCGCTTACAGCCATGTTTATACATTTAAAGTGAAATCCTATGCTTGGATAGCCAGAAAAAATCCAAAAATTCTGTGTGTGATCATGTACAGAACGGCACCCTTTGCTAGTTCCCAAGTTGTATAGAAGTCCTGGTTCCTGCCAGACTACGAGTGGATTTGAAGCATCTCAGCTTTGTATTGATGTCACCCCTGAGCATTAGTAATCTAATCCAAAATTCTGTTGACAGTGAATAAAAGATCCCATTCCTTTGTGCTAAAACTGCAGAGCTTCCGTCTTGGGGCCCCAGAAGTTCTAACCCACTAATTTATTTTATTCATTTATTTAAAACATTTCTATGCCACCCCCATCACAACAAAGCCTCGGGGCGGCTCACAACAAAAACAAAATACAAAAATATAACAATTATACAAGTAAAAATACTAAAACCTGGTACATCTCGGCTTAAAAGATTTAAAATCCTATAAATACAAATAAATTAACAATTAAAATGAGTTTTAAATAAAAAGGTCTTAGCCTGGCGCTGAAAAACAAATAACTATTCACTGGTTTCCAGGCTTCTCCAGCTTCTCCTTATTCTAAAAAGCTGCTGTGTTCCTCGTAAGACTCACTGCTGGCAGTAGGAGCCTGAAGCAAAAAAGGATGAAAAAAGCCAGAGGTTTAGGCATTTTGCCCCCTCCCCGCTTTGCTTTTGCCCCCCCCCCAGCAGGATTCGGCCTTCGCGAGCTTCTCCTTTGTCCCTTCTGCTTCCCTGGTTAAGGGGGATCCCCCCGGGAGACTTTGCCCCTCGGCCTGGCCTACCTCACAGGGCTGTTGTTGCGAGCATAAAACGGAGCGGAGCGAGCCGCCTCGGGTGCGATAATAGTAATCACTCACGAAACCAGCTCGCAAACCAAGGCCTTGGAAGCGAGTTCAACCAGACATCCACGGCACTTACTTCCGAAAGACCACTAACTCCCCTCCCAACAGCGGGGCAAACAACGCCTCTGCTTCCCCGCTACCGGAGGCCGATAGCCGCCACCGGAAGCGGCCGGAATACGGCTACTTCCGGTCTTGTGGACTGTACCATTGTTTTAAGGAAAGGGGGGACTGCACTTCTTCTCCAATACACCGCTTTCCCAGCCGGCTTTCCATCGGGGGAAAAAGCATCATTCTGTTATAGAAACACCGAGTGTTTCAATACCTCGGGCCAGCTTTTAAAAAGGGGCGTATTGTCTGAATGGTATCGTCCACCACGTGATGCGAGGCAGGGAGCGCGCGAACTCCCGAATTATGAACTTCCCAAGAGCGACTGGTGCGTAGAGATAGAAATGTAGAATGACACGCGGCAATCTCAGCCTTAATGTGCGATGCGGTCGTGGGCACAAAGCGCTGAAGCGCACTTCAAAATTCTCGAAGCAGAAATTGCTGGTTCTTTAGATAGAGCAGCCAGTTCCCAAGGCGGGACTAAGAATTGCTGACAGCCAGCAAAGGGGAAAAACACACCTTAATTTGAGCACTGATCTGCAGCAATGGTCTATACTTTCCTTCCTCCCAACAGAGAGAGGCATTCCGAATGTTTCTAACTCTGGTTTCATTTCGATTGGAAAACAATTTGAGTTTTAAAATATCCAGCATATTATATTCAGAACGCCTTCTGAATGCTAGCATAGCTATTATCCCCATATTAAATTCCTCCCTTGGATCTCCTAACCCAGTGCAATCAATCACTAACTACAGGAAAAGGCCGTGCATTCCGCTTATTTGCATGCACTTTGTACATTATTTCTAAGCTTTTTTACAACTTCAATTTTTCATACAATTTAAAGCGCATAAACTTCTATTTCCACTGCTACCTTAGGCGAGTGTATGAGATACAGTAAAATTCTGCATTTTTCCACTGGCAAGTTTACTACCTGATTGCAACACAAAAAAACTAACTTTCACATGCATTCAGAAATGCATCTAGTCCTAAATAGTGAGCGTGCTACTGTGCAGATGCCAATACACTTTGCGTATAGGACGGGGTATAAATATTCTAAATAAAAAAGAAATGCAAAACAGAGAGGTTGCAGCTATTGGCATATCTACTGAGTGACGCCACCCTGCCATAAAGAAGCGCCGTCTATGGGGCTTTTCTATTTTAAACCAAACGCAGATTGCGGGTCTCTCGTTTTTTGAAGTTCTTATCTCTATGGTTCGCACGGCCCGGAGGCGGCAACCCGCGCGCTCTCGGCAGACGCTTCGAGAATCTGGCCTGCCCGCGGGGGCGGGGGGGATTCTTGGCGCGAGGCAGCTGCGGCGCATGCGCGGCGCGGGCGGCCTCGCGAGAAGGCACGAGAGGAGAGCGGTGCGCGCGCACGCGGATCCTCGTTGCCGCCGCTGCTGCCTCCGCGCGGTTCGTGAGGCGTCGCCGGCATCATGTCGGCCATGGGGACTCTCGCGTTCGACGAGTACGGGCGGCCGTTCCTCATCCTCAAGGACCAGGAGCGGAAGACCCGCTCCACCGGGGTGGAGGCCCTCAAGGTACGGGGCGTGGCTGGCGGGCGGCGGCTTCCCCCGGCTTCCGTGGGCCCATCTGCGGCCCGGCCCGGCCCCTCAGGCGCCGCGGATTCGAGTGCCGGCCGGGAACGCCGCGCCCCGCCCGGCCACAAAGGTCCTTGGGGGGCGCGGAACCAGTCCCTCCTCAGCCCGGCCTGCCTTACGGGGTTGTTGTTGCGAGCAGAGGAACGCCATGAGCCGCTTTGGGCTCTTTGCGGGGGGGGGGCGGCAGGATCAGAAATCCCATGAAATAAGAATGCGGTAGTATTGTCTTGCCTTACATGAAATGCCAGGGTGGCGTGGTGGTTAAAGTGCTGGCCTGGTATCGGGGATCCGGGTTCCGGTCCCCTCTTGGCTGTAAAGCTGACCTTGGACGTCGCACACTCTCAGCCTAACCTACCTCAGGGGTTGTTGTAAGGATAGACTGGTCTGTGTAAGCTGCCTTGCGTTACACGAAAAATGTAGTATAATAATAATTTCTCTTACGATGCTAAGGGAAACGCAGTTTAAGCCCAGGAAAGGCACGTGAGATCAGCCACTCTCTGCAGGGGGGTTGCTTGCATGTCTTTTCGTGTTTCCTGCTGTGGAGTTTCCTTCTCAGACAATTTGGGGAGGTGCACGAGACTGCACCACTGCAGATTGGAGAGAGAAGGTAATCTTTAATGCTTCTTCCACTCTTTCAAGTAGAAGTCTGGCAGAGATTTCCTATTCGCGGGCCACGTGCCTTTATATTTTAAAAATTAGTATTTGCTTCCTTCCAGCTGTCTGAAGTGGCACTGTCTTATCTGTCATTTATTTTATTTGCTATATTTATATCCTGTTTTTCTTCCCTCAAGGTGGTCTATGTAATCCTCCTCAGTCTTATTCTCACTGTAATCCTGTGAGGGAGGCTGAGAGTCAATAGCTGGTGCAAAGACACCCTGTGAGTGTTGTGGCTGAAGGGACCCTAGAGCCCTTCTGGATCCCTGTCTGACAGGGCTCCCCTTTACCTACTGGCTCCCTTTTCTTCTCCCCCCACCTTATTCTGCAGTGCCTGCAGACCAGGTTGCAGAGGTATGGAAGGGGGCCTATAAAAAGTGAAGCATTACCAGTTTAAGATGATTTGATTGTAAAGAGAACTTAAGGAAAACTGTAGAGGCCTGGCTTGAAAAGCACAATATGCTGAATTACCTGACAAAGAATCAGTTTTCAGGTCGTTCTGTTTTGTGTTTCTTTTTAATAATTTCAGGTTAATATGGTACCTTTCTGATGTTTTATTTGCCATTATTACTAGTACTTGAAGCTTTGTCTAGTTTCCCCCTCCTATTCCTGGCTCCTGTGATGTCAGTTGTTCAGCAGCTGTCTCCTTGTGCCTAGTAAAATCTCTTCTCCTTTTTAGTCTCTCCGTCAGGTCCCATTCCATCAACAAGGGCTTTTCAATCTACCTATTCGCTCTATCTTTACATTTTCCTGATACTTCTGTTCCTTTCCCAACTTTGCCCCAGCCTTGAGTTACTCGTCTTTCTTTCCCATTGTCTAAACAATGCCCAACATGCTGTTCTGCCTACCACTTGACAGGCAGGTTGTTCAGGATTCTTTATCCTGCATTTGGGTGACAGCTCTGGTTTTGTTCTGCATTTCTGCTATGAAGACTAAAGACCCTGTTGATTCTCAAGGACACCCCCCACCCCCCCCCACCCCAGCTTTTCATACTACCAACCATGTGCCCTTCCAGGCCATCAAGTCAGAAGGGAGCTGAGGGGAGCTTTTCTTGTTCTCTTCTGATGCAGGGTGGTGGTGGTGTTTTGGACTTGACACAAGTGAGGGGTGCCAAGTTCCATCTTATTCACCATGGTGAATCTGCATTAAACTGCCGCATGGGGTTAACTGCATGCTTGGGCTTGGATATTAGCAGTATGACGTGTCAGTTGTAATTATTGTGATATTCAAAGTCAAGCTCTTGATTTGTTGCTCCTGAAAAGAGTATTTCCCAGTCTGATGCATGCATCTGGAAGCCAATCCAGGCACTGGCATGGCAATTCTGACATCTCCATGTGACAGTGTGATGTATCTATGCATTCATTTGTAGGCTAGTACTAATATCAGTGCCTTCTCCCCATTTTCTGAAATGTTGTGGTGTTTGGGGGGGAAATCATCTTAAACATTTTGATTGTGCTCTGTCAGTTGAGGTTCTCCAGGCACCTTCCAGTCAGAAAATGCACATCCAGTAAAAAAGCAAATTTACAGTCCTTTGCTTTAGAGGGATATATGGGGTATTTGGTTGCCATACAATTGTAATCTACTTCTGCTAGACTAAAAGCACTTTTTGCCACTGAAAGCTGGAATTCTGGACCTAATACGGACCTAATGCATCCTCCCCAGCACCTGCTTGTCCATCAGCCACTGCCTTGTCAGAGCAAATTGAGAGTTTGTGTCGAACTGTTCCACTGTGTGAGCTAATGTTTTCTCCAGGGTATTGAAATGTTTGAATTACCAGTTGTTTGGAAGTTTGAAAAGCATCCTAGGAATGAATAGTCCGAGATTCTCCAGATTTTTTGAGACATAAATTGTTCCTATAAATTCTGCAGGAACCTTAAGTGTTCGGGTTTTATGCCATAAATAAAATCTTCATGTATATATTAGTGTGAATAGAATGCGGGAGGGGGGGACCTGTTCCAAAAGAGGTGACACTTAAGAAGTGCTATTCAAGCAGTTTAGATTATATGGGAGAAGATCCTGTTGCTTTTAAAGTAAGTGGTGCAAACTGTATAAGCAGAAAATACTGAACTTGCAGGATGTGGTAATGCAGATTCTGCGTTTGTATTTCTTGTAGTCTCACATACTGGCAGCCAAGGCAGTAGCCAACACACTCAGAACATCACTTGGGCCCAATGGTAAGTAGTGACACTTCACGCTGTACACATTTACAGCTCTTGCGTTGAACGGTTCTGTCGAAACTTCCAAATGTTTAACTGTCTGTTGCAGGCCTTGATAAAATGATGGTTGACAAGGATGGTGAAGTGACGGTGACAAATGATGGTGCCACTATCTTGAATATGATGGATGTGGACCATCAGATTGCAAAGCTGATGGTTGAGCTGGCGAAATCTCAGGATGATGAGATTGGGGATGGAACCACTGGGGTTGTTGGTAAGGCTGGACTCTTTTAGGAGATTTTAAATATTAAAGGTACTGAAAGTGGGTGTTTGTGTTACCTGATAAAATCTGGTTAATTCAAGAAACTTTGTTTTCTGTAACACATCTGAAAAATATTTTGGTGGAATGCAGTACCGTACAGCACTGTTGGTTAGCTGCTAACCACATGTAGGTGCTTCCTACTTACTCCTTTCTTCCTCTGTTTGCCTGCAGAACCCTTATAAATAACTACTTATTTAATTACTTGTAGCAGTTAAATGAACTGCTAAGTTACCAATCAATGAAGTTTTGGTAAAGCTGGATGAATTGGCCTTTTTTAAACAGTTGATCTTGGACAAATGTTGGCAAGTGGGCTAACAAAAATATTTGCAGACTCACTAGCAAGCCTGGTTTTCATTTTAGGAACTAAAATGCCTCTTGCGTATATCTAGCATAAAGTAAATTACAGGGCAGGGAGAAATGAACTTTCATAAACAGAGCCAAGATGTGTTATGATTTTGCTTCTGTAGTCCTTGCAGGTGCATTATTGGAACAAGCAGAGCACTTGTTAGATCGTGGTATTCATCCCATCCGAATAGCCGATGGTTATGAACAGGCTGCTCGCATTGCCATTGAAAACCTGGACAAGATCAGTGACAGTTTTCCAGTTGATCCAGAAAACACTGAGCCTCTCATTCAGACAGCAAAGACAACTCTGGGCTCTAAAGTGTACGTACACATTTTTTAAAAAACGTCCTGAGAAATGAGAATGTCTTAAAATTGGTTGCTGATTCTTATTACTGTATAAAAAGGTAACTAGCTGTTAAAGGAGCCGAAGTTACCAAGCTGCCTCTTGCTTCAGATACTGTGGGGAATTTATATATGGAAACTGGCCTTATTACTAGTGTGAGTTTGCCAGTGCAAGACGTATTTTGCACTTTGTTGGTTCCCCGGAATCTTCAAGAAGCCATTGGGTTTCTCCCACATTTGATCTTGCTTCTTTTTGTTTTGTGTCTCTGAATGAGTTGAAATGAAGTTTTCTTTTGCATTTAGAATTAATCGTTGCCACAGACAAATGGCAGAAATAGCTGTAAATGCGGTGCTAACCGTGGCAGATATGGACCGCAGAGATGTTGATTTTGAGCTGATCAAAGTGCAAGGAAAAGTGGGTGGCAGACTGGAGGACACGCAGCTAATCAAAGGCGTGATTGTGGACAAAGACTTTAGCCATCCACAAATGCCTAAAGTGAGTACTCTCTCTGATCGGTGAGAGGTTCATAGTCTTGGGTTCTCCTATTGTTGCTTTGTTTTGTGAACTATTTTTAATGCATGCTGTTTTCTCATGGAATTATTCAAACCCCCAGGAAGTTAAAGATGCTAAGATTGCAATTCTGACTTGTCCATTCGAGCCTCCGAAGCCGAAAACGAAGCATAAGCTCGATGTCACTTCTGTTGAAGACTACAAGGCATTGCAGCAGTACGAGAAGGAGAAGTTTGAGGAGATGGTGAAGCAGGTTAGAATGATACGTATATATTTATTTATAGATGTACTTATGTATTGGCTGTAGTTGCACAAGTCCTCCTTTTCTAGTCATGGTGAAGGGAGAGTACTGTGCAGGTACTGAATCTAGCAGCTTCTTGTAGGCAAGCTTGTTTCTGTCAGCACTAAAAGGAAACTAAGTGACATTTTAGAATGAAATATTGCCTACTTCGCTTCCAAAATGAAATTTAAATTTAAGTGAGTCTTCATTACTGTAAGCGTTTCTGGCTTGTGCCTGGCAATTCAGTGATGTAGAGTTTGGGGTGAACTCTCTTACTCTTTCCTGTACCTCCCCCACCAAAAAAACAAAACCAAAAGCCTTCAGCTCTGGAGGATCTGCTGGGACTGCAGCAGAAGGAAGGAATTCCTCTTTTCATTGCACAGAAGGAAGCCACTTTATCAGAGGAAGCACTTTAATTAACTTCCATGATCTGGGAGTAGTTTGTTAGCTCTGAAATGAAGAAACTGTTCATATTAACTGTCCATTAAGGAGACTACTGCACATTCCATATAAGCTTCTGTGAACATTTTTAAAAGGATGAGCAGGATAAAAGTAAAATGCACATGTTGTTGTAGATCAAAGACACCGGGGCAAACCTTGCCATTTGCCAGTGGGGATTCGATGATGAAGCCAATCACTTGCTGCTTCAGAACGAGCTGCCCGCTGTTCGCTGGGTTGGTGGCCCCGAAATAGAAGTAAGTCGGAATCCCTTACTGTTCCGTACGTATGCCAAATTTCCATTGTGTCTTGCCTCATAACTCAATCTGATTGCTTTCAGTTGATTGCCATTGCAACGGGAGGCCGCATTGTTCCTCGTTTCTGCGAGCTCACACCTGAAAAACTGGGCTTTGCTGGTGTGGTCAGAGAACTCTCATTCGGAACAACGCGAGACAAAATGCTGGTGATTGAGCAGTGTCAGAATTCTAGAGCTGTGACCATCTTCATTAGAGGTGGAAATAAAATGGTGAGTGGAATGGATTCACTGAATAGCTTGTCTAGCAATTGTGTCTTCCTAATTAAATGATTTACTGTTTGCCCCAATATGAATTCCACTGTTCTGACAAGTGCCAATGCATTCTTCAGTGTGGCAAAGCATTTGAGACTTTGGGGTTGGATTGCTGTTCTAATTAGGTTGCTCTTTCTTTTAATTAAGGTAGTTACATTGAGATTGCAGTTGCAGTTTCAGAAAAAGCACTCTTCCATTGGATATTTCATTTGCATTAAGAGCACATCCTACGGACGTGCTTCATATACAATATTTGTAGGATTGCAAAAAGAAAAAAAAGGTCATTTTGAGGCAATGGAAATTCTCTAGCCAACTGAAAGTAAACCTTGAGTAGCCAGGTCTGTGACTTCACATTTCTGGATAGCTTTCTCAAATGTGCCCACACTGAGTAAAAATGGACACTTTTGAATCTCTCGATTGTCACTGATACCTGAAAAATATGTATTAATTGGGTAAATATATGTTGAGTCTTCATTTCCCTTTCTGGATATTAGAAAGAAGGGCTGTGGGCTCCCTTCACCTTTCCCGAGGAGCTGCTGTACTTCAGCGGCCAGAGTTGGTTGAGGAGATTGTGGCGTGGATTCAAATGTGCTGTCGCACAACCAGAGCACCCTTCATTCAGCAAAACATTTGTTATGTGTTTGCTGGTGGCCACATCAACCTTTTAAAGGAATTGTCCAGTTTGGATAATCGCTGGTGGTGCAATACAGCGAATGCGTCTTGTGAACATGGATTTTGACAATGTCCTGTAGTTGTTCCTTTTCTGGAGCAATGGGGCTTTCCTGGTTGTCCCACACTTGTGGAACTCTGTTCCGACTGAAATCTGCCAGTCCCCCTCATTTCAGCCTTTCAGGTAGACCCTAAAGGCATACATAATTACCTGAGGCTACATGGTGCATATGCTCTTGGATCTCATTGTTTATTTTTACGTTTTCATCATTTTATTAGGTTTTGCTATATGTTGCCTTAGGAGACTTTACTTTAGAAGACAGAATATGTCTGTCAAGTTAGTCAGTGAATATCGCTGGCACGGTACACTTTTCAAATATTGAATGATTTGGGGGGTTTCTCTTTCACTGGAAATTTCCTTATTACCATCCTGGTTTGAGTGTCTGCGTTTTTTCCTGTAACCGAAGATCATCGAAGAAGCCAAGCGGTCCCTGCACGATGCATTGTGTGTCATAAGGAACCTGGTTCGTGACAACCGCATCGTGTATGGTGGGGGCGCGTCTGAGGTTTCCTGTGCGCTGGCTGTTAGTGAAGCTGCGGATAAGGTAAAGCTAAAAGAAGAGGGTGAATATTGGGCTGTGTTCCACCGGCCAGTTTTCCATGAAACAAGTGATGCTCTCTAGTTGCTCAGATGCTGCAGTGGCGATTAAATTTCGCTTGTACCCGACAGTTTCTGGAGAAGAGCCTACTTGCTTCAGTGCTCATGGCTGTTGTACGCTGATGGGGTGGATTGTTCCCTAGGTGAATCACGTGACAGTATTTTTCAGGTGGTGAATGTTTCTTCCTTGAAACCAAAACAAGCATTCACTCTCATGGGAAAAGCATCCAAAGGAGTCTTTTTAAAATCTCATTTCAACTGCGGAAGGCAGTCGCCATAATGCAGTACAATGTCGGACTTGGACTACAGAGATTTGAGTTCAAAACTCAGCCATGAATTTCAGTGGGTTCGCTTGGACTGGTGTTTTCCTCTGCTCACAACTACATTGTCGGGCAGCTGGTGGTAGAGAGCTGGATGTTGCCCTGAGCTCCTTAAAGGTTCATAGAATAAAATGGACATTGTTTGCTGGAAAGGATGCCACCACATTTGGGTTGTGTTTCATTGGATGATAGATGGTGGTTATATGAAAAATACAAGTTTCCTGCAGTGACAATAACCAGTGTTCAGAAGTACTCTTCCATTCTGTCATGTCAGCCATCTGAATAGCCCATGCATAGGACTAGAAAGTATTTTAGATTATTTTTCTTTGGCTTTTGTCATTAATCTTTGTGTAATGTAAGCTGTGTACTTCTGTACTTTAAGTAGCAGAATATAAGAAGGAATTTAATGTTGCAGAAATGCAAAGCATCATGCAGTTAAGAATTGAGTCCCACAATCTGTAGGCAGTTGGTTCTTGTGATTTTTTTCCAGACTGAATTTGATTTGATTTTGATTTTTAAAAAGTATAACCAGTTACACCTTTAAGCTGTAGCACAACTGCTTTGAGACTCTCCTTATGCTTGGGTTCTGTTCTTTGCTCTCCTAGTGCCCATCACTGGAGCAATATGCCATGAGAGCTTTTGCAGATGCCCTCGAAGCGATTCCAATGGCCCTTGCTGAGAACAGCGGGATGAATCCCATACAAACCATGGCTGCAGTGCGAGCTCGGCAAGTGAAAGAAGAAAACCCTGCCCTGGGCATGGATTGCTTACGCAAAGGGACAAATGGTAAGCACTGTTTTCAGATGTGTCCAGGAGCATAAAAAGGAGCTCTCTGGTGTGGGTAGTTATGTAGAAACAAATCCAGGAATGCTGTTAAGCTTGGCTTTCAGCACCAAAACCGGGGCACTTGGCTGGAGTCATTAAAAGGCTCCCTCTATGCTGAGCTATTGAAGTTTCTGGGGGGAGACTGCAGTTCTTCCCATGTGGTTTTCCTTCTGTCCTTCCCAGGACTGAATGTGGCAACTGTCGGTTGGAATGTGTAGGCCAGAGGCTTCCTTCTTCCGCCTGCACATAAGGCCTTGCTGCACCTTGCTCCTCCTCCTCCCACTGAGCAAATAACTATGGTGGTTATCCAAAAGAGAAAGACATTTATACAATATTATTCTCTGTGTAGAAGTACAAAGTTTAGTCTAAAAGCTATGGCACACTCTTTAAGACACCAGCCACATACGTAAACTGGCGATCTCAGAGTTGTATGCCCCCCCCCGCCAATTTATTTGTGTGTCCTCCAGAAATGTGATGAGATCTGTTTTTATTCCGAGTGGATGCAATATAGTCAAGTATTTCCTCTTTCGGCAGATATGAAGGAACAACACGTCATAGAAACTTTAATTGGCAAGAAGCAACAGATCTCTCTGGCCACGCAAATGGTCAGAATGATTCTGAAGATTGATGATATCCGCAAGCCGGGTGAAACTGAAGAATAAAAGCCGAAACATCCCCTCAGTGAACACATCAGCAGAATTCCAACTTTTCCCCTCATGGGTTGTTTTTGTTATACTTACTTAAATCAATAAATTAATATTGTGGCCTCAGCTGTACTTCAGAAATATCATTGTGTGTGTGGTTTTTTAAAGCTATACCATATTTACCCTTCTTGTACTTGGTTGTTCTGGGAAGGTAAAGCTTAAATGGCTGACGTTTAAGACTTGCAGTTGGGTAGAATTAAAACTTTAAAGGTGTGCACTTCAAAAGATTGATGAAACGCAGGATAATTGTGGAAGAGGAGGTTCGGACCTAGATTGTCATTCATTAATACTTTGACAATCATTTGTCAATACTTTTCATTTTGTCCCAAATTTCTGCTATCTCAGTGCTTTCTTTGGTGCTTGCAGAGTGTATGTGAATGACCTCAGAAGGTTGGGGTGATGAATGTTGTTACTACAACCCCTTTCTTGGTTCAGCTGTCACTGACATTGTGCAAATTCACAAGATGTATGGAATCAAATACAGAGTAATTCTAAAGGAAAGCTTGTTTTGCTTTGCTGGGGACCTCAGACAAGGGTGAAGGTTCTATGAGACCAAGACCCTAAACACACTGCCAGTGTACCATTGGCATTGGCAGTAAATTTATTGGCATTCCACACTGGTTGTAACAGAACAAATGCGGAGAAGTCCAAGGACTAGGGTTAGATGGATTTTATTCATCTGGAAGAATTTTAGTTCTGCATTTCAAAGAGCAGGGGAAGGCTGTGACATTTTGCTGGCACAAGGGTTGGTGCCTGTTTCTCACAGGTCCGGAATCCAAAGCCAAGAAACTTGCCAAGATACGCATCTGGTTGATTGCTCAAGTCCTGCTATCTGAATGCTTGGCTTGGCAGCCATTTTGAAACTAGAGAAAGCTTCAAGCGGGGAGAAGCTGTGATTACAAATATGATTAATGCGCTTCTGATAATGCAATTCTCCAAGTGTGGATGATTACCTATACTTCGCAAGCCAGGGAATTCCATCCTTTGAAGACTTGCTACCATCTCTCTTGACTAACTCCTGCCTAGCATGGTGGGTGTGACTGAACATTTGGGACATATGAACTCAGATGGACTACTGCAGCCTAGAACTAAGTGATAATAATGCAAATGCATGAAATACTGGTTCACTACTCAGCATTGGTTAGGCTGCATCATGGATGCTGTGTCCAGGTCTGGGCACCACACATGAAGAAGGATGTCGCCCTCCGAAAAAGGTTCGGAGGAAGGCCGCAAGGATGATCCAGGACTGGAAACACTGCCCTATGAAAGAGCTGTCCTTGTTTAGCCTTGAAAAGAAGAGCAAGGGGAGATAGGATAACACTCTCCAAGTGCTCGAAAGAGGAGGGCCAGGCTCTCTTCTCGATCATCTAGAGTGCAGGACACAGAATAATGGCCCATGCCTGAGAGAGCCAGATGGTGGCTGGACATCAGGAAGAACTTCCTGTTAGAGCAGTATGACAATGGGACGAATGACCTGGGGAGGTTTTGGACTATCCTGCACTGGCGGAAGTCAAGAGGCAGTTGGACAGCCGTCTGAGAGGGATGTTTGAACTTGGGGCAGGGGGTTGGACCCAGTGGACTTCCTGGCCCCTTCCAACTCTAATATGAATCTAATTTGCAGAGACCGTGATTCTGGAAGATCCAGAATTCAATGTTTCCACCCCGAGGCTCAGAGGCCACATTCCCTCCTCCCAGCAAGGCTTTCCGGCAAAGGACTTAGTGAGGCATCAAGCGAGACCTGCCTAGGAGCAGGGCTTTGAGGAAGCCAAGCCATTCTGCTCCAGTGGTAAGTTCAGAGTAAAGCACGTACTCCGAGGATCTCTAATTCTGTCCTCGGTGTTTCCAGATGAGACTGGGAAAGACCTCTCTGCATCCCTCAGGCATGATTGAGCTAGTTGGCCTGGCATGGGGCAATGTCAATTCATATGTTCTACTGCAGTAAAGAGGAACAGGTGGTGTCACTGTGAGATTCTCAAGTGCAGGTGAACCACCTAGCATGTTGTGGCTGGATGCAGGAACAGCTTGGAAAAACGGGCATAGCTCCTCGGTGTGCCTCTGCTTGGACAGAGAAGGGTCAGGAGGCAACCGGGAAGCAACGGGGCTTCTGGCCTGCAGGCATGGTGCAGGCGACCTCTGGTGGTGACTTTACTTCAGTCTGGTTTGTGTGGTTGCTTTCTAGAAAATGTCTTCTCAAGTTACATGAAATTCATTTAGTGTTAGCGGAGCATCTAGAATACTGGGTCCAGTTCTGGGCACCAAGGTTTGAGAAAGATGCAGGTAAATTAGAAAGGGTCCAGCGGAGGGCAACAAAAATGATCCAGGGTTTGGAAACACTGTCCTATGAGGAGAGACAGAGAGCTGGGCATGTTCAGCCTTGGGAAGGGAAGAGTGAGGGGGGACATGCTATAACTACCTCAAAAGCTGTCACAAAGAGGAAGGTCAAGAGCTCTTCTCGCTCACGCTAGAGTGTAGGACACGGAATAATCAAGTCAAGTTGCGACAACCCAGATTCGGGATGGACATCAGGAAGTTTCCTCACTGTCAGTGGGACCAGTTGCCTGGAGAGGTTATGGCCTCTCCCATGATAGAGACATCCAAGCTGAAACTGGACGGTCATCTGAGTGGGATGGTGCAACGTGGTGTTCAGCAACAGCAGGGGGTTGAACCCAGTGGCCTTCCCGGCCCCTTCTGACTCTATGATTCTAGGAGACTGTGATTTTCCTATCCATTCATTATAAATTACAGACAAATCTGAGCATGGACTAATATTTTTCATCCATTACTCAGCTCTAGTTATAGACAAAGGGAAAAAAATGGTAGCTATTAATCTGCAGCAACCGAGTGTGTCGAGATCCTGGCTTAGTTTTTCCACATGGCTCTGTGTTGTTGCTAAACAGAGGAACGTGGTGTTGACCCGGAGCCACACAGCTGCACAACTCTGAAATCGGATTGGTCTCCTTCCCTTCACCCCAGGAATGTCCTTTTCTTCCTCTGATGTTTCTCAGTTCCGAATTGCCCCCTCCAAGCAGCTTTCCTTCCTCCTCCTGGTTTCAAAATGTCTACAATATGCCTGGTTCTTTGCAGGTGTGTTTCAATGTGGTGTGAGAAGCTGCCCGGAAGAGTCTCTGGAATCCTCAGCAGATGCAGAAAGTGGCAGCAAGACTAGCGACCAGTGCTTGGTATTGGGGCCAGTTTACCCCAATGGCTTTACAGGGTGTTTATGGGGTTCAGGGTAACCTTTCCAGCCCTGACTGGCTGAGGAGCTGGCTGTCAGCTTGCCAGTCTCTCGAAGACCTCCCTGCTTATTTAACAGCCTTTGGGAGGCTAAGATTGCCTGCAGAGGCTCTCCCATATACCTGCCTGGACCTTAAGATCATCCACAGAGGTCTTTCTCCGTGAGCCACCTTTAAAAGGTGGGCACGAGGGGCAGGGCCTTCTTGGCCGTGGCACCCCAAATGTGTAGCCAGGTGTGCCTGGGTCCAACCCTTTATACAGTTTGGCACCAGGCTAAAACCTTTTTGCTTTCCCAGTATTTTAATAGTTAAATATGATCATTTTATACTGGTTTTATTTATATTGTTGTTGGTGCTGATGTGGATTAATTATTATGATATGTATAATTATTTATCTGTTAATGGTTGTTCTGTATTGCATTTGGATGGATGCACTGTTTTATGTTTTATCTGACATCAGAATTATTATGTGACTTTTTATATGGTCTTTCTTGTTGTTGTATACCGTTCAGAGAAGTATAGCTGATGGAACAGTATACGAGAGCTTTTAATAAATATATAAGTGAATTTGTATGCAGAGGTGAAAGGCCTGTGGGACCCCCGGCTGTGGAATGTGCTCCTTCCAGAGCCTCTGAAGGAGAAGCTAAAGAGCGTGTGGTTTGGACTTCCTCGTGGTTGCAAGTGCCCTCTGTTCAGGCACCGAGTGTGGACAGAACTCGCTGTGCCACTTTCCGCTTCGCCAATCTTTGCAACTTTTGGATGGTCTGAGCTGGCAGTCGTCACGCTGGCAGCATATTTCTGTGCTTGCTTCGAAGTTAAGAAAAATGATTTAATGTGCAAGGGCATGCATATCGCATGCATACACACCAAGCACATAGGAGAATATGAGGGAACTTCCAATGTTGAACCCTGGGTGCTTATGAAAGCCTCATATCCTATAACCTGAGAGAGTCAGACCATAATGAGGTCTTTGAAAACGACGATTCGTTTTATTAAAGAAGAATGCAAAGTGCCACAGATTCACACATTTGTGGAATCAGAACCATGTATATTTCGACTTCCAGGGAGGGTGTGTGTGTGTGTGGGCATAACAAAGCAAAAAGGAGTTCCAAGGCCACGGAATTTTGAAGTCTGCAATTAGGAAAAAGAAGAAAAGGGGAACAATCAGATATGGACCAGCTAGAAAAAGCAGAAATAATGCAAAGATCTATGCCTCTGTGGCTGCTGGGAAAATTGTTCTCAGCAGAATGAGACCATATTAAATGGACTGAATTTTCTTTCTTCTTCCCTTCCTCTGAAAACTGCAGACTTGGGTTCCCTTTTAATCTCTCATTTCAGGATTCTGTGGTAGCAAAACAAATTTTGAGTTCAAAGGACACTGGAAAGTGGATCTTCATGATCTCGCTGAAGAGGGGTGGAATTCTTACTTTCCCCTTCCCCTAAATTCAACAGGAAGGCCAAGAATCATCTTTGAAAGTGAGCTTTTTAGTGCTTGTCCTTCCAAGAGAAGGTCTGAAATCTGCAGATCTTTTAATACAGCGGAAGCAACTTAATCAATGCAAAATGGCTGGCTGGCCAAAAAGCCGATTGAGGGAGCCTGCAGGTTGCAGTGCTTCAATGAGACTTGTTTTTTCTAGTTCTCTTCCAGACCCAGAGCTTTGTAGCCTTTCACTAATGTCTGTGCAGCTCATCCTGTCAATTAACGATATGAGCATTCTTCTCCTTAAACATGGGGTTGCTGCATGATTTGTCCTCATGTGGTTTTAAAAAAAGGTTATTTGGTTGAGTCTCAGTCACAGTTAGGTAACAGATTAGTGAGAAATGATGAAGTTGTTTCTCCACCCAGGGAGTGATCGCAGGAGAAGTAAGCTGCAGGGCATTTTGAGAGTAATTAGAAGCAACGTGTGGAAGCTTCCGGACCAGAGGCTTACCTCGGTGACCTGAGCTTCGTGACCCATGGAAGCCTCAGTCACCACCAGGAGGCTGGTGTGATGTAAAGCAAGTTGCTACCCCTGACCGCCATTGCCTCACGGAGTGATTGTGCAGACAAAATGAGAGAACAGCGTTCCGCCCAGCCCTTTACGCCATCATCCTTTTGTTTGCAAACCCAGCAGGCACGAAATACTGCACAGGCTTTCAATTCCTCCGGAATTCATGGAACAAGCCAGTGAACTAAGCCAGAAGGTGCAGGACGAAATGGCCAAGGATCAGGACTAGGTTGCTTGGTACAGTTTTACGATGGGAAGTGGAAGGACAATGGAGACATCCAAAGTAAAGAGATGGCTTCAGGTTATAGCTGGAACCCTCCCCAGGAGGGTTGGTAAGAAGCAAAGAGTCGGTCCCTCCTGTTTGGGGGTATGAAATGCAGCTGTTACTCAAAAGCTACCTCCATCCCTTGGTGAAACCCACAAGGTCTCTGCTGAGTGGTGGAAAACAGAAGTGGACAGTTTCTGTATTAACAACACTGGGGATAATTTTAGATGATATAATAGGTTAAAAGAGGGACTGCAGGTGGCGCAGTGGTTTAAACTGCAGTGCTACTGGGCTGGCTGATCGAGAGGTCGCTGGTTCGAATCTGCACAACGGGGTGAGCGCCCGTTGCTCCGTCCCAGCTCCTGCCAACCTTGCAGTTCGAAAGCATGCAAATGCAGGTAGATGAAAAGGTGCCACTTCGGTGGGCAGGTAACAGCGTTCCGTGCACCTCGGTGTTTAGTCATGCGGCCACACGACCACGGAGACCGTCTGCGGACAAACGCTGGCTCCCTCGGCCAGGAAACGGAGATGAGCACCGCCCCCTGGAGCCAGGCACGACTGGACTTAATGTCAAGGGGAAACCTTTACCTTTAATAGGTTAAAAATGACACCCAAAGCCTAAGGTAGTCTCCTCTCATAGTTGGAGAATAAATTCCTACTCTCGAGTGGCATAAGATAATCTTCACTGAATTTGGTATTTTCCAGGATGCGCCAAAAGCAAAGGTTAGCTCTGCAGGCCAGTCGTTTTTGTCCTTGCTAGCAGGGCCACCTTCCCCTTGGATGGTCCTGCCTGGAATATGCAGTTGTTTTTGATCCATTGCATCTAATTTTGGGGCAAGCTCACAGTATTTCACATGTTCTCTTGAAGAAACCATAGCTTGTGAAGGAGGTGTAAAATTCCTTCTTAATGGAAACATTTGAGGAACTTTAAATACATATCACTCAACCCTGACTGCTCTTTAGAAGGCCAGATACTGAAGGTGAAACTCAAATATTCTCAGATTTGGCTACCGAATGAGGAGGGACAACTAACTGGAGAAGTCCCTGATGCTGGGAAAAGGAGAAGGGGGCGGCAGAGGATGAGGGGGCTGGATGGCGTCGCTGGGGCGGTGGGCGTGGGTGGGCTCCGGGCGATGGTGGGGGACCATGAAGGCCTGGAGGAAGGTTGTCCATGGGTTCGCGATGGGTCGGGCACGACTTGGCGACTAACAACAGCAGCAAAATACATACCACACGTCCCGATCAACACAACCCACCCCATTACTGCCTTGGCATCCGACACGGCACTATTTGGCACACTATTTATGAGCTCCGTCAAGCAGCGCCCTCTGGACCACGCTCCGAGAGGACGATGCCTGCGCGGTTCTGCGGGCCGCGCAAGGCAGGGCGCGGGCTCCCGCCCCACGGCCGGAGCCGCGCGCTTCTCGGCCGCCCGGGACCGCGCGCCTCCCCGCCGGGGCGCCTGGACAGCCCCCGCTCGCCGGCGAAGGCGCGCCCCCGGGAGGGCGGTCCCGGCGGGGCGGGGCTCGGGCGCGCCGCAGAAAAGCGCCGGGCGCGCGGGCGGGCGCGGGGAGCCGGTGGCGAGCGACCATGGCTCCGTCTGCGTCTCCGTGGCTGCGGCTGCTCGTGTTCGCCGCCGTCCTGTGCGCGGCCGCGCTGACCCGGGCCCAGCGCAGGCTGGGCGCGCCGGAGGAGGCCTCCGCGGACGACCAGGATGTGCGCGACGCGCTGCGCTTCGCCATGAAGGAGTACAACCGAGGCAGCAACGACATGTACGCCAGCCGCGTCTCCGAGGTGATCAGTGTCAAGAGGCAGGTGAGTGGCGGCCCCGGGACGGGACGGGGGTGTGTGTGTGGGGCGCGCCTCCCCGGCCCCGGCTTGCGCGGCCCTGGGGAGGGAGTGCCGCGGCGCGGAGCCGCCTCGGAGCGCCTTCCAGCGGGGACCTTGGCGTACCTCGACGGGGTGTTTGCGCGTAGCCCGGGGCTTCGGCAGTGGCGGCAGATCTTTGGACTCCGCGTCCCAGAATTGCTGATCCTTGGCCCTGCTGGCAGGGGCTTCTGGGCGTCGAAGGCCAAAGCGGGCCCTGGAGATCCGCCAGCTGCCCATCTCTCGAGCCAGGGCGCCCTTCGGACCTCCTGTTCTCTTGCCGTCCTCGCTGGCTTTGCTTCTGTGCTTTGCAAAATATTTCGCGCGCCCCGCAGCGGGCATTGTGGGACAGAGGAGGACAAACTCGCTCTGTGAATGTTTGCATTCTGGGCTACCAGGCAAAGCATGAGAAAGAGAGAAAGTTGGCAGGCCTGGCCATGAGAAGAACAGAGGGGGGCTTGTAATGTAATGAGCTCTCTCTCCACGGGGGCAGCAGTAGTTGGGAAGGCGGGAGGAGAGCAGGCTTTTTTCTGCCAATGCAGGATTAGAGTTCATTGTGGACTGGAACGGCCTTGTCCTAATTGGGACGACAAGCGCCTCCGCCTCCCCTAGTTCCTTTCCTTCAGCTTGCAATCAGCCCATCTCAACTGAGCCTGGCTCTCCGCTCGCCTTCGGCCATCGCCTTCAGCAGGAACAGGTCCCTTGTGCAAGCTTGCCGGTGAATTTCCACTGGAAGCAAACTGGAGCCGCACAAGTGCAAAGTCCAAGAGCTGCAAAGGCCTCCTCTCCCCGTTACACGTGCCACCCCGCTGGGAATATTGTGTCCCGTTCTGTTTATCTTGCCTGAAAAAGGACCTGGCTGAGTTGGGAAAAGCACAGAGAAGGGCAACACAGCCGCTGCCCTACCAGGAGTGGCTATGAAAACAGGGACTTGGAAAGAAGTGAGGTCTTGCTCCGATCCTGAGTGAGCGATCCTGCGCGCAGCTGGTTTGCCACTGCGTGTGGAGGGCTGGCTTTGGCTGGAGCTGGGTCTGACCCAGCAGCGCTTTGCTTCTCCAGGGTAGCGGAGCAGCGTATGTATACAGTGTGCCTCAGCTCCAGCTCGGATATCACACTCCTTCCTGCCCTCCCTCCCTCCCTCCCACACGCGTTACCAGACCCTGCAAGCTTCCACTCCGCTGCCAGTTTGCACTCAAGCGATTGCACCACCTGGCTGAAAGGCAGGCGTGGCGTGCCAGAGCTCCGTCTGCGGCAAAGTGGACCTTTTCACTTTGGGTTAACATGGTTCGTCTCCACTGTCCCTTCACCGCCACTGTCATCTCTGAAGCTCGGGCAGCAGTTTCTGTTCCCCCTGCGCTCACTTCCTTCATCTGTATTTTTAGCTGCACGTGATGTTAAGAGAGCATAAATTTAAGGAAGGGTTTGTTTTCTTCCAGTCTGCGTGCAGGTGGAGATGGCTTTTGCCAGGGCTGGGTGAACCGCTCAGGTGGGTCGGTGAGGCAGGGGTCTAGGCTGCTGCCACTGCAGGGGTCCCAGCCCAGCCACAGGCGTTCACCTGGCTGCTCTTGCTGCTTCCGGGAAGACCCGTCCGTAGGTGGCTTCTCTGCGGTGCTCTTGTCCAGTTCGCTCACCTCACTCAGAAAACCACGCGAGACACCAAGACTCCGTCCGTGCCGTTTCGGCCAGTTTGCTTCGCAGTGCCTCCTTGCAGGGCGCCGATGCAGGCGGTCAGTCCTTGTGTCTTCGCTGCTAGCAGGGCTGCTTTGAGAAGCTCACGGGCACGACGTCTGGCCTTCAGCGGTGGGCTGTGAATTGACATTACAGTTAATCATCTATTAAAGACCACTCCTGTCTTTCTTACACTTTCTCCCCCTAGCAGCAAATGGGGGTGCTCAGCAACCTCCTTGAGGTGGGGGCTGTTACACCCCACATTCATAACCTGCACAATCCAAGCTTCTTTACAACCAGAATGGTTCACTTTTGGATGGCTTTAAGTGGAAACTGGGCAAATTCTTGCAGGATGGAGCCATCAGAGGTTACTAGTCCTGATGGTTCGTGCCCGTATCTCCCTCCTGCATCAGCAGCACCACACCTATTTGTTCAAGAGTCCATGTCAAATATTTATGCACCATCGTTGGACTGTCCAGACCTTAAGAGGTCTTACAAAAGGTCCTGCCCGATAGTCAACCGGTGGAACATCGGGCAATTCCCCCAACCCATTTTTGGGAGAAACAGATACATGATGAGGTACAGGGACGGATGAGAGAAGGAAGGCTCTGCTGGGGAATGGTGTGTATTATTCCGGGCTGTCCGGTCTGGCTGGTGTTCTGGGGGCCTGTCGCCTTTCTGACCTGTCCAAAATGGGGACTATTAATTATGTCAGAAGTAGATGGCTAAAATTGGTACCTTTGGACAGAGAACTCCTCCCCGGATCTCAAAATATTCAGTCTGACTGCATCACATGGGACCAACTCCAGATCAAGGCTATTTCACTCACACCCTATTTTTTCCCACTGTTTGAACAGAATGGTGGTTTCAATGGACTTTGTATTTCCTTATGAATTCTGAGGATTAAGCGGGTGTCATGCATTCACTTATTATTATCTACTAGATGTTGAGAGGGGAATGAAGTGAAGTTGGCCAGGCCAGCGATAGAGCTTTGGGCCTCCTTTGTCAAACTAGCTTTTTTTGGTGTGTGTTTGCACAAGCCAGGCCTGTTGTGTCGGCATGGAATGGCCAATGACAAAACGGAATGTGTTCTCTCTTAACTCCTCATTCCCGCATCTTCCAGCTTGTCTCTGGAGTCAAGTATATCATAGTCACTGGAGTCGGGCGAACAACCTGCACCAAGGCCGTGGCGGATGTTGAGAACTGTGCTTTCCACACAGCCCCAGGACTGGCCAAGGTATGTGCCAGAAACCCAGGACGCCTTGAACGGGGGCCGGGCTGATTCTTCCAGCGATACGTCTTGCTCAGCTATTCCGCCTTTTCTTCCTTAGCGGGATGTTTTTCTGGTCAGGAGATCGAGGGAAGACGTGGTAGGGGAGCATGAGAGGGGGCTAGAAATGGAAGATGTTTCCTGTTTCGGAAACTTTTAAGCATGAGGCAGGGTGACTGCACCGTGGGCACCTTCGTTGGAAGCACTTGTGCTCGCTAGCAAAATGCCGGTCCTCATGACGGTGTGCCAGAACGACGGATCTTCCATGGAACTGGGGCGAGGGACCCCAAATGCAGCACATCCTGTGCCCGGCGTCTTGCTCTTTGCAGCGTGTTTACTTTGACCTGTAGGATTCAGTGTGGAGCTGGTCTTTGGGTGATGCTTCTTTGCCTTCAGCCCAGTCCAACACAGAATAGGGCTCCAGCAGGTTTTTCCAAGCAGAATGCATCCTGCAGCCGAATTGTTCTGTAGTCCTGCACTCAATCCTCATCTTTAGACTTGAATCCTATGCATGTTTACTTGCAAGGAAGCCTTACTGAACCCAGTGGGAGCTCCTGCCTACGTTAATGTGCATAGGAACCTCTGAATACGAAATCAAAGGGCTTTATGGCCAGTCTTTCTGCAATCAGAGGACTGTCTCCTACCTGCTGCCATTTCTGCTTTCCTCTTCTGAACATGGGATGTGATTCAAAGCACATGAGTCACACGCACACTCCGACACACTATTTGCAACAAGTTGTAAGTGCCTCCTCTTAGGCACGAGGGCATCCGGGGAAGGGCCACGTTGCGACACGTCCAAATTGCAAACCATCTTGTCTGCACTTCCCCCTTGGTTTCAACAACTTGAGCACAAAGGATGGTCAACACGGGTTGACTCCAGAGACGAACACAAACCTAGATATAGCCAGTCAACAAAGGGAGCAACGGCAACACATTGGCTGGTTTCTCTGCCTGACTTATAAAGGAGTTACTGTTTGGTCTTTGAGGGGGGTCTGGTATTGGCCCAAATTCCCTGATCAGCTGTTCATTGACTCAGAGCCCTGTGATTACGCCCCGCATGGACAGACTCGCTTCCTAATGAGTCTTTCTTTCCAGCTGAACTTATGACATCAACATTCCTCTCTTTTTTCCATTGCTCCAAGTAAGGATTGGCATACTTTCCCTCTTATAAAACTTGTTTACAAATACTAGTGTGAGACACATACAACCCAGCTTTATCCAAGTTTAATTGGAAGTTAGTTTGCATTCCCATGAAAAAAGTTGGCAGCTTCTGGCAAGCATGGAGGGACTCGCTTCCTACCAGGAGTACGTAAGGTTTTGCTGTAAGAAGCACTTCACCATGCACTGCACCCTGCTTCGTATCTCAGTAGTTACTTAAAAAAACAAAACAACCTCTGGGATTTTTGTGGCTTCTCAGTTAATGTCAAGCTTAGCAAGAGTTTGGTGTCCTACTATGGATGCGACTTGCCTTTGTCATATTAAGGTCCTTTTGCTTTTCTACCCACAGCACATGACCTGCACCTTTGAAGTCTACACAGTCCCTTGGCAGAACAAGATCTCCCTGTTGCGTACCAGCTGCAACTGAACATGCCTCAGCTTTGGCAAAGAGAAGCAAACTGCTGTTCCGATGAAGGTTTCCGTATTCGAGAAAAGCAATAATCCAGATAACGCCTTAAGTGAGAGTTTCTGCCACTAACTCAAAACTGCTTGTGCCTACTTGTTTTGAAGCAAGTTCTTCCTCTTGAAGCACTTTCTAAACCTTGTTTTCTCATTTATAACACTGTTTGTAGCCGGCTTCCTTCCTTATGCTGAACCGATGGAGAGAAAAATAAACGTTGGCTCTGTCAAGGTTTTGCAGAGACTCGTGTCCTATTCCGCTTTCAGTATCGATTGCTAAGAATAAAGTTTTCGGCAACGGTGGGGGCGGCTTTCAGTGACGGCAATCTGGACACCGCGACTGAGATACCGCAAGAGCTGGGGCGGTGCTCTGTCCAAGGCCAGTCCGTTACTCATCCCTCACAACCCCCTGTTTACATTTCCTCTGGGATGAATTAGAAGATAAGAGCAGCTTCTTCTGTCCTAAACTCAGAGTGGCTTGTGATCTAATCTTTACTTGTCCGAGGACGTGATTTTGCAACGCTTGTGTTAGATTAGGGTTTGATTTCCAGCACTGGCCCAGCTCTGAGAGCGCGGTGCTTAATGAAAAGGATAGAAAGGCCTAAACCATTTTTATTTTTTATAAAATGGAAAAGCCTACAAATAATGTAACATCGATGCTTCAGCAGTGTTGATGCTGAAGGCAGGGTCTCATTTCTGTGGGGGGGGCTCCACTTGGGAAAGGTGCCCCCATCTTCCTTGTGGAAGGTGCCACTTGGGGGATCTCCCCTCCCCCCGCCACACAGAGCACCCCAAAAATGAGACATCTTTTTGTCCAACCCGGACTGGCTCTTTTTTTGACCCCTCCCCTAGCCCGCACGTCAAGCCGTTTTCAACCCCCGCTTCCTGTGTGCTTCTGATGGCATCCCCCCCTCCCTCCCGGTGCTGCCTTGAAAGCTTTGCAGACCTCCTTTTCAGCTTTTGGTCATTATAAAAATAATTCCTTTAATTTAGTTTAATAAACTCAAAAGAAAAGGGGTAGGAAATGAAGAGGAAATACGCATATCTGGGTACCCATTCTTGCATAAAAGTTATGAGCTGGTTCTTCAGCAGGTCTTTCAAATGGTGATCTCTAATTTCTTTCTTGCATCTCACATGAATATACACGATCCCCCTGAAGGTGTTTCTTTCATGCGTCCCCTCATGCACCTTGAAGGTCACACACACAAGGCCTTCTGGCATGCAATTATATTGCGAGAGCCAGTGTGGTGTCGTGGTGAAGAGCACAGGACTGGGACTCGGGCGATCCGGGTTCGAGTCCCCGCTCAGCCATGGAGCCTCCTGGGTGACTTTGGGCCAGTCACGGACTCTCAGCCCAGCCTACCTCAGAGGGTTGTTGTGGGGATAAGATGGAGGAGGAGAATGATGTAAGCTGCTTTGAGTTCTTTAAAAAAGAAAAGGCAGGGTATAAATCTAAATAGCAAAGAGAACAAACCCGTCAGTCCTAGAGGAGATCAACCCCGATTGCCCTTTAGAAGGCCAGGTCCTGAAGATGAAACTCAAATAGTTTGGCCACCTGATGAGAAAGAAGGACTCCCTGGAGAAGAGCCTAATGCTGGGGACGATGGATGGCAAAAGAAGGAGGGGACGGCAGAGGATGAGGTGGCTGGATGGAGTCCCTGGGGCAGTGGGTGTGGGCTTGGGTGGACTCCGGGGGATGGTGGAGAACAGGAAGGCCTGAAGGAAGGTTGTCCATGGGGCTGTGAAGTGTCAGGCACAACTTTGTGACTAAACAAAAATAAACAAATCTAAATCATGATAACATGATTCAGCTTCCCCAGACATTCACAACCTCATAGAAAGGAAGATCAGTGCTCACATAATTGATCTTCAGTGCTCACGGAAGCATTCTTCTCCTCAAGGCAGTCGTATACCTCAGTCACTCCATGTGGGGGGGCTGAACTACTGACCCCCAAAAAGCACTTTGACCCCCAAAAGCACTTTACCATCTGCATACAGACGTGTGTGCGCGCATCCATCCTGCGTCGCCCACACCTGTGCTCACCTGCGCCGTGCTTGAGGGCTTCTCCTGCCCCCCAGGGGACCACGGAATGGCTCTCTTCTTCTCTTGCCCCACTGCCCAGCAGGGGGGTCAGGATGGGGGAAGCCCCGCTCGTCTGCAGGTGGCAGGAAAGGCAGCCGGGCCCCCCGCCACCCGCAGGCACCTGGGGGCCTCCCCCTGGCCAGTCCTGCCAGCCAGTCTGCCGACACGGCCTCTGATCACCAGCAAACTCGCCCCTGACCCAGCCGGGGCTTCCTCGCTCTGGGCCTGGCCCTGGAGACCTTTCCGCTGCGAATGAAGTGCTCTGCAGGCTCGGATGGCCAGACGAGGAACGGCTGCTTCTCGCAGGTTCCTGCCAAGGGGGGACCGTGTGCTCCAGGACTCCTTTCTCCGCTCATTGCGTGCCCAGGCAGAAAAGGCGGCTGCTGCCAGACAAGGAATCCTGTCCTCCCACAGCCAGCCCACGTGCTTTGAATTTATTTTTGCCAACATCTTGTTTGGGGCATGTGTGCTGGGGGTGCGAGGCACCAAACCCGTTCAGACACCTCCACAGCCCTGGTAGTCTTCCAATCAAGGGCAAATTGTTCGTATTGCGTTATCTCCTTATCACACCTTTTTCCCTGTTGGGAGGAACCCCAGGGGAGCTTACATGGCTCCATTTTATCCTCACGACAACAACCCTGGGGGGTAGGTTAGGTGGAGAGTGGCTGGCCCAAAGTCACCCAGTCGGCTCCAATGTGCCAGCGGGAACTCGAACCCAGATATTCCCGGTCCCCAGTCCAACGCTCTCACCACTGTGCCACACCAGCTCCTTATTATCCACCTGTTAATATCTCTGTGTGTTATAGGCATGGCTGTGGAAAGAAGCATGTGTATCAGTGCTTCCTAAAAATTTGGTCAAAATGAAGTTGCAGCATTCTTTTTACCAAACTTCGTATCTGTAAGAGAAATGGTGGGAGAGAAAGATTCAGGTTAAGATGGAGATGCAGCACTGGGCTTTGTCGGTTTTGCTGTGGACGAAACTACAAGCAACACTGAAACATCTGCTTCATTCTCACGGAGAGGTGCACCCGTGTCTGCATGGGACTTCTTCGGACTACAGGTGGGAGTTCAAGTGGCCGAATGGGCTTTCATGCAAAAAATCCCATGTAAAGGTTAGCATGGAAGGATTCTAGCCTAGCTGTGTCAGTTCATAACCTCAGTGCAAACGAACCCGTTCGAGAATAAGGCCACAAAGAGAGGAGAAATGGCAGATGAGGAGAATAGCTTCAAATCCCAGGGAAAAGAGCTAGAAGGAAATGACCTTGGATGGCCACCGGGTGGCAGCAAAGGACAACTGGTGGTAGCCAAGCCAGCGAGGGCCTCTGGTGGCATCCATTGGAACTGCAGCACATGGAGCCCAAAGGAGCCAAGCCGGATCGCATGGGGCCCAGCCGACCCGTCCCGCTCGGGCTTGTCCGCTTTAGGAAGTGGGTTGCAGGCCCTTCCGCGAAGCTGGTCAGAAGGACTTGCCGTCCGATTGCTCCAAATGGCTCTTTAACCCCTTGAGTGCTGCACTGAGCAGGCGGCTGGGCCTGATAGACCGCTAGGCCCCTTCCAAGCACATAACTCTGTGTTCTTCTATGATTCCCGGCGTCCTCCTAGCAGCTCTGCTATGAGCTCCCGGGGCTCCCCCACATCTTGGCAGCACCGTCTTGTGCTGGACGATGTTCCTGCCTATTTCTATTACGTGCTGTTGAGTCGTCTCCGACGTATGACGACCCCATGAATGAAGCCCTCCGAAGTGACCCGTCCGTGGCAGCCCCGCTGTCTCGTAAAGTCAAGGCTTGATCTTCATTTCTATCTCCTCCTCCTCCTCCCCCTTCCCCTTCATCTCTATCTCCTCCTCCTTCCCCTTCCCCTTCATCTCTATCTCCTCCTCCTCCTCCTCCTCCAGGGAGTCTTTCCTTCTTGTGACGTGGCCCCTGTTTGGTCATTTTTCTTCTGGGGAAGTTCTTCCTTGATGTGATCCAAGACCCACTTGTTCATTTGCCTGTCAGTCTAGGGACTCCACCAGCAATCCTCAGCACCATGCTTCAATCACAGCCATTTTCTTCCCGTCACCCTTCTTGACTTTCACACCTGCACACAGTGAGTCCTACCCATAAACTGGCCATTCCTGACTCAAAGACCTGCATGAAGTTTCTCCTTGATCTTCAGCTTTCTCTGCCATGCCCAGGGCTGATTCTGTGGGGAGGCACCGTGGCAGCTTTCTCTCCCAGGAAGCTGCAGTCCCCACATCACTAGTCAGCCTAGGGGGAAGCCCTTCCATGGCCACCAATGGAAATTAGGGCCACCGGGGAATGGGGGAAAAACCCATGAACCATCCCCTCCCACCCACTCTGTTTTCTGCATTTTTCACACCTGTCCACAGCCATTGCAAATTAATTATAGATGAAGAGGAGAGGGTGATTTTGGATGCTTTGCGGAGAGGGAGCTAATTGCATATTTTATTTGAGGAGATCTGGATGGAAAAATAATCAGCTGCCTTAGCCGTCTGTAAAATTTAAACACACGCTTGCAATTATTAATACATTTGCATATATGAATTTGCAGGTGCACGTGTTGCACAGATCTGTGTCCTGTGGCCCTGGGCCCCAGCCCCAAAAAACTCCTGACTGACACAGTCTCACACTTTTAGGCAGCAGGATCCGTGCTTTCAGCATTCGTGCCAAACCTGGCTTGGTTAATTGTTTGCATTTGTTGTTCACTATTTGAGTCTGTTGCACTGGTTATCCTAAGGAAGGGGTCCTCAAATTACGGCCCGGGGGTCAGATACGGCCTGCCAAGTTCATTTACCCAGCCCGCCTTAGAGCTTTCGGACTTGCTCGGAGAAAACGATCTCCGAACGAGTCCAAAAGCTCTGAGCTGGCGCAGGCGTACTCTGAAAGACTAGCAGAGAGCCGGCGCACGCGCCAAATTGTGACAGCTCCTTCAACTGTGCATTCGCCGGCTCTCTCTGCTAGTTGTGGCCGGCTCCTGCTGCTGCGCTGGTCTGGCCAGCATGAATTGCGCACGTGCTGGCTCCTCCTCCTATGGCACACTTGCGTTGGCTCTGAATACGGAGGAGAGGAGCGAATATGGAACCGGACACTGACCATCTCCTTAGCCAAAAGCAGGCCCATACTTCCCATCGAAATACTAATAAGTTTATGTTGAT